AAATTGTTAAATTAGTGAAACCATGCACTAACTTTTTATACGAGGTAACGATTATTGACGAATTGTAGCAGTTTTGCCTATTATCTTGGAAATTAAAAAAATTTAAAAAAAAAAGCAAAGTCTAATGGAAGGATTATTTAGACACATTTAAGGATTTCTGCTTATCATCTTCAGACCTATAATAAATATAAGGAAACATGTTTTTATAACTGAAACCATGTATTGACACCTTGAAGAAGGAGTAGCCCTAAAATGACGATTTTTTTTTACACATTTTAGTGTTTTTTTCCTTCAACCTTGTAACCTCCATAAGAGTTATTGACTTTAACTGACGATTCCAACACATATTAGCAGTTTTGCCTATTATCCTGCAAACTATAAAAAGATAGACAAAAACTGTTTACAGCAAAAATGATCATAAATACTATGATTACAAAAATGTCATTATGACTGAAAATTAATAAGGGTCATTCCCTTAAAAGTTAAAAGGAAATTTTTTGACAAATTTTTGAGTTTTTGCCTTCTATCTTGAAAACTTTTTTTTTAGATGGCAAGAAACTGTAGACAAAAACAACATTTCAGCAATACTATATCTACAAAAATGTTAATATGATTGATACCATTTAGTGAATACGTAAAGGACACATTTTTAGCATGTTTGCTTTAATCTTGAAAACTATTAAATAAACAGAAAATGTAACAACAAAAATTATTAGTAATACAAGATCTACAAAAACGCAAATTCGAATAAGACCATATATGGAATCGGTTATTGCCATTAAATGACTTGAGCAGTGTTGCCTAATATCTTGGAAATATTATAACGGCAATAATATTCCAATACATTTTCCATAGTAAAAAATATGAATTGACATGGAACTATGAGAATTACTTATACATAGATTTGTTTGTATTTCAGATTGCAACGGAATGAATGAAACAAATGCAACTTTACATGGATCCACACCCTTTGTTTTCCCGCCAATTCTGATTGCTTTCATTACGCTGCAACAAATAATATTTGTAGTAGCATGTCTCGGAAATGGATTGGTTGTGTATATATTTGTCAGATATTTAAAATTTCAGTCAAACACAAACAAATTTATTGTCAGTTTAGCGCTTGCTGACTTTTTCACAGGATTGTCAACCGGCAGTCAGATGTTTTATTTTTTCTTCCCAAGTATGTCATCAAATATGGCAGCCTGTCTCCTTAGAAATCAAGTAATTGAGTACATGACTATGACGTCACAACTAACTGTCTTCGTAGCGGCATTTGACAGATATCTGGCCATATGTCATCCTCATAAATACTCCGAGATTGTAACAAAGAAAAGATCAAACATGATATGCATACTTCTTTGGGTTTTACCTAGCTATGCAGTATTTGGATCAATGTTTGAATGGATAAACTGGCATCCGGGAATAGGATGTTCGTCCGAGCTAATTTTACCAATGGCTTTGTATAGTATAGCTTCCATAGTTGTTTATCTTTTTAGTATAATTACAGCTATGTTGTATTATTTGATGTTAAAAACAGCATGGCGTTTTCACAGAAGAATACGATCAGTCGAAAATCAAGACCACAGCCAGATAAAAACAATGACAAAAAGCATTAGAGGAGCTAAATTGACAGGAATTATAACTATTGTATTTTCTGTTTGTTGGTTGCCCTATATGGCATTTCGATTCCGAAGTTTAGTTCTATCCAAAAGGAAAACGAAGCTAGAATCTGATATAGCTAACTGGCTGGTTTTTCTTGGAATCTTCAATAGTGTAGCAAATCCAATTGTCTATGCTTGGAAACGTCCTGATTTCCATCATCAATGTAGGCAGATATTATGTGGTCGAAGATCATGAAATTGTAAAACTGATTTGTAAAAATGAGCTTTCTCTAAAAAAAAAACATGTGTGTATACATGGTATAGTGCAAATAATTTTTCCTGAACACTAAAATTCATTTACAATACAGTCATTGATAGTTTTATAGAAATAAAAAGGGTATTCAAATGTAGAGGAAACGATAACTTAACTAAACGTAACTTCGTTAATATTGTCACAGATGCACTACTAAACTATCCTTTCTAATGCTATCAAAGGTGTAGATGTCATTAATTTATGCAATTTCCCTCATACAAACTGGCCTTTTGACTGAATTTGAATTTGCATGGCGGCTGATACATGCATAGCAGGAGACGCTTACGCTGTCGACGCAACCTGTTTAGCTCCTTTTTGGGTTCATGTGACTCCTTCAGTTTTTATTTGTAACCTTGACTTGTCTCTTCTTAATCACATTTAGGAGATTTGAATATCGGTTAACTACTGTCGCCTTAATCATGTTAATAATATATGTTATAGCAAAATTACGATGTATTACATGGGTATATATATAGCACTATTACATTTTCATAATGTACCATGTGGTTTTCCTTAAAAGAGAGACGAAAGATACAAAAGGGATATTCAAACTCCTGTCGAAAACAAATTGACAATGTCAACGAAAAACGATCAAAAAGACAACAAATAATAACAAATGCGTTTTTTTGGCAATCTTTTGGGTAATGCATATGTTGTAGATTACATCTGAGGAAACCTAGGGTTGAACTTGCTTTTTGTTGGTATTTGCTATATGCATTCTCCGTTTTAGGTCGTCTGATATTAGGAGTCCGAGGTATGGGTTGGTGTTTATACCTCTGCTAGTATTTTTTTTATAGATATGCTATAGCATTTTTGGCGTTAAATTTCATCAGGTCAACAGTTTTGGTCGACACTTCAAGGTTTTAAAGGTTATGCTGGGTTTGTCTTAAATGAAAATAGCCTAGACCGAACTCTTTTATTGATCGACGATGCGCAAAGTTTTCACGCAGAAACACTTGCATTCAATTTGAATTCAATTCTTTAACTGAACGAAAGAAGAAAACTTACACTGTATGTTTAAAATTGTGTTGTTTTCATGACTAATGTATGTGTGTACATATTTGTATTTCAGTCGATTTGAAAAACTCACTATAGAGCTTGTGTTTATGTAGTTTATTGAATATCAGCTTCAAATAAAACTTTGAATTGAATTGAATTAGTTTTTTATTTGATGATCGCAAATATTCGTTTACTGGCTCCAGATTAACCAGTAAACGAAATTTGCGGCCATCAAATCACCTATTCATCCCCACAGATCTTCAAATAATAATAATCTGTAATCTGTAATCTATAATCTGTAATCTATAATCTGAATAATAAGTAATGCCTGTCAAGGCGCACCTCTAAAATCTGGAGTGTGATATCCGCCACCACACTCGAATACTAATTATTAAAATGTTTTTTTTCACACTATTGAAAGTTTTTACCACACTATTAAAAGTCGTATCCACCAGAATATCGTCGTTATTATATAATCGAAAATCAACTTAATTTAAACATGTTAAACTGATATTATGCTGAGTCAGGCCCACCCTTATTTAATGAATGGTTATTATTTATTTTGAATTTATTGAACCATAAAATTAATTTTTGACTCTTCACATTGAATAATCCGCTTCGCGGATTATGTAAAATGTGAAGAGTCAAAAATTAATTTTATGGTTCAATAAATTCAAAATAAATTATTGTCATTCATTATAAATAAATTTCTATCAAAAATAAGGCTCAAAGAGCTTTTTATATTATTTATATGAACAATAACAACGTACACACATGTTGGCGTATGAATACACAACGTCAGAGTGGGCGTGTCGCCATAAAAATTGACAACATTGAAAATAAAGGTAATACTTTTAACCAATCAGAAGACACTAAATACACCAAATTTATTTATTAATAAATAATATAATTTTCTTCTCCTTTTCTGTTGTTCAGTTCCATCATTACATATCAGCAGTCTATAATGAGTTGTATGGAGTGTATGAATCATCTTTCTGCATTGAGATTCCAGTATTTGAATACATTGTCCAACATATTCTGATTGTTGTAGTTCATGCTGTAGTCGGCGAGGGGAGTTTGACGACCTTGACTACCCATGAGGGTCTTGCACGGTCGGAAGCTGTAGGCGACGACGAGTTTTTTTTTAACTACATTGACTACCCATAAGGGTCTTGCACGGTCGGTATGCTCCCGGGGGAGTTTACTGACTATCCTTTCGGGTATAACTGTGCCGACAGCACTTGCCAAATCATACTCTGTTCTAACCAGAAAACATTGAAAAACATACCCTGTTCTAAACAGAAATATTGAAAACATACCCTGTTCTAGACACGCTCAGAAAATGTATACCTGTTCTAGACACGCTCAGAAATATGCACCGGGAATGATCCTGTTCTAGACCGTATAAAATAGATGCTGTTCTAGACCCGGGTTCTAGACGGTATCTTAAACAGTTAAATAAGCGATCCTGTTCTAGACAAATACTTTGTTTAAAAAAAGACCCTGTTCTCACCAGCAGGGCAAGAAAAAGCGACCCTGTTCTAATCAGCAGGACATGAAAAAGGGACCCTGTTCTAACCATCAGGGCATGAAAAAGTGACCCCTGTTTGCGGCACACTCGTACCACTAAAAATATAGGAAGTAACCCCCCCCCCCCCCCCCCCGGGGGGTATCCTGTAGGCAGTATACGGATCACATATGAGTATTGATTGTATAGTCTTTATAAAAAAAAATCTAACAGATGTTTAAATAATTTTCTCTTATATAGGTTTTCTTACTGCTACCAGCTAGTACATCGCATATGAGCAAGATATAAGACAGTGTTTGAACTTTCGTCTAATACTGATTAATTGGGTTAAAGGGAAGATAACCCCGAGGTCGCAACAACTCAAGTAAACCTCTTGTTGAAAAAAAAACTATTAAAAATAAACACCAAAAACACACATAATGATACAGAAAACAAGGAAAAGAATGTAAGGTTTATTCATATAGAATATTTTAGAATCCTATACGTTATATATAAATAACAACAAATAACATTGAGAAATATTTTGGCCAATTAAAAATTACCTTTAAATTACCTGCGATCCTGTTTTGTTTTGAGAAGGCAAGGAGATTGATCAGAGTAGACGGTTAGTTTGAGGTCAAATATGATAGACTCACTACCAGACCCTACTTTGTCGTCGGGAATTATAGAAGAAGAAAGTTTTAAGTTTGACACCACTGAGGCACCTGCAAATTCCTCAACTCATACACCTACACGAGGACTCTCATTTTCACAAGATCCGGATATTTCACATGAAACTGTACATCACCGACGTGATTCTGGACCTCATTTGGAAAAATTTCTTAAACTGATCAATACAATGTAAGTTTTAAAATACTGCACTCGCACGAACAAAGTCACTTTCTCCAGTTGATTAGTTGTTGCATACGCAAAGTGAAAAAAAGGGGGAGGTGAATGGGAAGATCCCAAGGGAACAATCAAAAACCATATTAAACTGATGAAGAAAGAAAACATATCCCATGGCCAAAGAAATATTAGAACCACCATAAAACACTTCACAGAAAACTATAGATTGGGCATCACAGCCCCCACTGGCACTGGTGGAGAAATCAAGCGCTCCAGAAGGAATCCGGGTCTGTTCGCCCTAAATCACGTTTGCACCCCACACGTTAACACCTTTTTTATTGGTTTTGTGTTGAATAATTTTTTAATGTGTTTTAGTTGGTGTATTGCTATAACATGTATAAATAAATTTTTTTTATTGCTCAAAATAAAGTGACATTCTAAAAACGTAAACAGGTTTCCTACTTCATGCACTTTATATTATAATTCATTTTGAAATTCCCGAATTTTATTCAGAAAATATTAATATTTTTATTTATACATCTAAAAAACATCTAATAATTAATTAACAAAATCTGTATTTGAATAAAATTAGGGTGCATTATGGTTCCAGGGGGCAAATAAAGGCAACACTAGTAGGAAGCAAGTTAACTCGTACCATTGTAAACTCGTACCACGTAAACTCGTACCAAAAAAGTTAACTCGTACCAACGTAAACTCGTACCACTGGGAAGTCGTACCAATCAGAACTTGTACCACTGCAAACTCATACCATTAAAAATATATTCAAAAATACGAATGTTTTATGATTTTTTTTTTGGTAAACTAAATAAAAAAAGTTGAATTACTTGAATTTTATACTAGATTTTAATGAAAACTTAGACAAAAATACGAATGTTTTATGATTATTTTTTTTTTTAAGCTTTATACAAAAAATTAAAATATCTTTGAAATTTATATACCAGATTTTAATGAAAACTTAGACAAAAATACGAATGTAATTTCTTAATTACCATGCTAATAAATATATTAAATTCCTTTGATTGTGTGATTATTGGTTGATTATTAACTAATCAACTTGTTTTTTTTTATCTTTAACTAATCAACTTATATAAGCATGGTCATATTCTGCTGAAATGTGCTGAATATTGTAGAAAAATAAATTTCATACTTTCCAACTGTTGGTCATAAACAATTTTAAACCTTTAAAACACAATCAATAAATTCTTTCATTAAATAAAATTCCTTTTAGAAACAATAGAAAAATACCCAAATCTATTCAATGTTACTAATTTGGAATGATTAAAAATTAAATCAAATAGTTGTTAGTAAAAGTTTAAAAAAGAGTCTATTCAAGGGAGACAACAAAGCCAATCTGCCACGGTTTTCTCTATTCAATTAGACAAGGAAAATTAGCTACAAATTGGTTATTGTAATTTCAAATTATATACATTTTACAGACTTAAGAGGTATTGAGTGAAATTAAAGTATATATTCATCATTAAACACCATTTGAATGCATTTAAATAAGTTGGTACGAGTTTACAATGGTATGAATTTACCGTGGTACGAGTTAGCAGTGGTACGAGTTTGCATTGGTACGAGTTTTTGTTTAGTGGTACGAGTTGACATTGGTACGAGTTTACAATGGTACGAGATAACTATAATTCCACTAGTATACCTCTGTTCAAAAGTCAATAATCGATTGAGAGAAAACAAATCCAGGTTACAAACTAAAACCGAGGGAAACACATAAACTATAAGAGGAAAACAAGGGAACAACAGAAACACTGATGTGCAAACGTGTGAACGTGTACGGTGCAAACGCATATTTGGAGCGACTGGACCCGATACCTTCCATTCCTGGATACAGTCAAAATGACAGTCACTTATTGTAATCCCAAAGGAATTTGGTTACTTGATACAATAAATTTTTAACCATTTTATATTTTTTTTCTTATTTCCAGTCTATTTTTGCCAACTATTTACCATAAACATAACACACCAATATTTACATATTTTATCAATGTTCTGTACTTAGTGTCCACTTGCATACAATGTATATATATACCAAAAACTGGATGTGGATAGTTATACTGAAAACATTTTGGTTCACATTTCTCCATGTACAATTTCTATTTACACACAATAGTCATGTGATAACATCAGAAATCTATGAAGTACAAATGTAACATTTACTGCATGCAAACATTATATGATGAAACACAATTTCTACAGGTTATTGGTGTGTAAATTAGGCAGATTAACTCAAACTGAACAAAGTACTTTTATGTACAGTTTGTGAGTCAACTGCCCAGTTTACACATCTATAACTCGAGAAAAAATATGCTTCATTCTTATAATTTTCAACCAAATCATTTGCTATTTTTCTTTCAATATCGACTTTCTTTGAACTCCAGGATTCTGTTAATCATGTTCATGGTTATTGTGCATGAATTATTTATTATACCCCAATAGGTTTGATGACATACATGAAATTAAAAAAATAATGTCAACACAGAACACGATACATCATAAGAGTAATAAAAGTGCAAGGCATATATACAATGTATTTACTAATTATTCAGTTGCCAGCTCATTCAAGTCCACTCTCCTCAGTGACCATGACTTTAATGAATGGAGCAGCATACTGCATATATATAACTGATGGACATGAAAGACACAAACAAATTTATCAAAATCATCATATCATAAAATTTAATTTGAATAGGTATTTTTAGCTTTCTGTAAAAATTTAGTCTCAAATTTCATTTTTCGTATATTGATAAAAGGTTCTTCTTCATCTATTTTATTTAAACAACAATATTGCCATAAACTTTCTTCTCTTTTTATATTTCTGTGCCTCCTCCTTTCAATTTCCAAAATATGGTCAATTACCCTTAATTTAGTAAAACTTTTTTGAAAATTCTGGACCAATTTTTCCCAGCTGAAAAAAGGATAAATTTTTCAAAAAAAACAGTTTTAAAATTTCCATTGCCATCAAGTTTGTAAACTATGATAAAGATCATTAAATTCCAGATTTTTTTCATGATTTTTCTAATCTGAAACAGATTATTTGTCATACAAATGTTTGTTGTACAGTTGTACAGCTCTCATTAGTGTTTTATGGAATACAAATTGAAATTGACAACTTAGTTATTGTCTACATATCGTGATCAACTTTTTTGCAAAGATAGCTCAGAACAGAAAGGCTATACAAAAAACTAAAACAAAACGGTTAAATCATTTATGTTACATGTACAATGTACATGTATTCTAGTTCTCCATCATCAGTTACATGTACAAGTACAGGTACAAATAAATGTAAGTTTAATCTCAAGTGTTTATATTCTAAAAAAGTGACATAAGATATGAGGGATTTTTCATATTTTTATTGGTTTTTTTTTCACAAACTTAAGTATTCCTTTAACACTTATTTAAAGAACATACAAAAACTAGTGTACTTTATTGTTTAGGAGCCAGCCCATCTCCGGGGACAGGATTTTCTCGCTGCCTTGAAGACCCATTTGTGACCTTCAATGGGATGTTTTCTGCTCTTTGGTCTGGTTGCTGTCTCTTTGACACATTCCCGGTTTCTATTTTCAATTCTATAAGCACATGCCTAACCCATCTCCAACTCAACCTTAATATGAAGGTCGCATGAATATAATGGATCCAAATTATTGACATGCAAGCCATTAATTCATTAGCTATATTTTAAGCTTATTTTGACAAAATGGAAACAAATTGACTGCTTATTGCGAAAAATTATTTAAAATTCTACTCGAATAAATGAAACAAAAAAAATAATACATGTATTTTAATTTTTTTATCTAAATTTGAGCTTATGCCCCTATAAGGTTGAATGCAAGAACATTATTCAGATTATGATATTGAGGGCAATATATATACTGTAAATTCAGAAATTATTGCGTGCATTTATTATTGCGATTTTTGAAGAATTAACAAAAATGCGAGTTTAATTATTGCAATCTAAGGAAAAGCTTCTTACATATATATGTATCATATATCAGAATGCGAGTTCTTATTATTGCGTTACTCAAGGAGTTGCAATATTCGCATTAATGAAAACCTCGCATTAATTTCTGAATATAAATTTACAGTAATAAGATTACTATACTCTTAAAATGTTTGCTTAATTTTATGTTTTTACCCTTCTTGGCTTTTCCTAGAGATTCAACAAAATTAATGAAAATAAACACTCTATGTTGTAAAACTGCTCATTAATCATAATACTGTGGATTCATATTTTTTTGTGGATACCAATTTTCGTAGATTGAGAAAAACTTGCATTTTCGTGAATTTTTTATTTCATGGTTTTTCCAAAGTCTGCATATATTCTTAAAGTTAAATTTACAATTCGTTGAACATTTAAATATGTGGTTCCCCATGTACCCATGAAATCCACAAAAATTGGTATCCAATGAATAATAATAAATCTACAGAAATTGAATAGGAACTGACTAGGTTATAATTTTAGACATTTCTCTCAATAAAAGCAGGTACTTATGTAATATCTAGAGATAAAGGGAACAATAACATTTGTCTAGACTATTGATTGCAACTGGAAATGAATCATGCATCCTACTTATTAACAGTAAAGTTCAATCATGAATCCTTACAATATATTTACCGATTGTAGCGACCTTTGATTTCTAAATAAAAGTCCTATTAATAACCTTACACATGTTACAAGATGGGATTGTTTTAGTTTTATATGATAACTGGTGTAAGTAAAGAGGTTATGTAGAGCACAACTAATGAAGTGTATTGTTAAGATTAAATATAATGAATTCTTTTGTTTACTGAATTCAATACAAGGACTGACAAAAGTGCATTCATGTGCATAACTTTTTGGAAATTTTAAACTTTTGTGCTGTATTCAGTCCATGCACAAATTTATGTAATCTATGTACATGCATTATGTATAAAGTTGAATCTTTTTTCATATTTTTTGGCAAAATACATGTAGGTTTTAAAAAGAATGATTAAAGCACTTTATTGAATGGTAGACTCTCCTTAGTCCTTATATCTTACTCTATTGTTAACTGTAAATACTGATTCTTTGTTTAAACAACATAATATGTCGATAAGTTTAAAGCAATCTCTTAGCAAATCACAGTCAGAAACACAAAAAGTTTTACATGCATCAGATCCATCAGTCATGTTTTGGACAACCAATAAAATTTTAATATAAATGTAATCCTGAAAAATGTACTCTACTTAAAATTGACACAATATGGTACAGGTGGTCCGAGTACACAGTTATTTCGTAGTGTATTTCTTTTAGACAATAAATGAAAATTTAAAAAATCCCACCTGCGCTTTCTCAATAATATATTTACAGTGTGTGGTACTACTTTTGAGACAAATTATATCAAAATTATAGAAAACTTCATCGGCTCTAACTCAAAATATGGACAATTTTATGTTAAGGGGGTCTTGAAATCTTTTGACAGCTTCCGAAGTGCTTATTTTTAACCTTTTTCTGCTGTACCAAATCACTACTTGACTTTAAAATTCATGACCCAAATTTTTTTACAGTGTAATTTCATCCCCTACTTGCTATTTGAGGCATAAAACATGTAGAAATAAATTTGGAAGGGGTATAAAAAAAATTGGCAAGTAACACACTGTCCACACTAGGGACTATATTTGTGGACAACGAAAATCAAAGGACGATAACTGTGTACTCGGACCTAATAGGATAGAAAAAGTTGACCAATCTCAATTAAACTTGGTATGACCAAAGCTTAATAAATTATGAGACTGCTTACAAAGTTTCATGGCAATAAGATATATATTATAGACAATATGATAAATTCTATATTCAACTTTGCGTGTTAAATTTTGACGTTAAAATTGAAAAATTTCAACTATCAACATTTGGGGCTTTTAAAATTAAAATATTGCAAAAAAATACTTTTAAAATGCCTTAATATATAATATATCATGTACTAAAAGCAATAGAGTACTCATTTGATATATCAGACTTAGCATAATTATTCAAAAGTCAAATTTATATGCGCCTATGCCTAAAAATGGAGGTTTTCCAATAAAGGGGGGCCTTACATAAAGATGTAATATTTTCCAGCAATTTTAAATTTGTGAAGCTTTTTGGTTATAAATAATCCTTACATATGTATTTAATGTACTTTAAATGGAAAGAAAACTTACAAATAACATATCATATTAGTTTAAAAGGGTCTTAGGCCAAGTAAGACTGAAAATAATTTAGGGTCAATTTAGGCCGTAGCACATATTTACATTTAAAAATGCATATTGAAGCTATAGGAAATAAAAATGTGTGTCTTTTCTATCATTTCTATACTCAGGTGACATGATACAATAAATCTGAGCACAAAAAGACTCTTGCATTCAACTTTTTTTGCAGACAGTATGGTCTGATACAAAGATTTTTCACTTTTTAGTAAAAAACTTGCAGGCAATTTTAGTCTCAACAGGCTTATATTTGAACCACTTGCTATCCTACAGAAGAAAAGAAAGATATTATGTGAAATGAAACAACTACAAAAGACATTGTTAAGTGCTTTTTATACAAATTTAGTGAGGTCTTTATTATGGACTTCAACTTTTATGTACCAAGCTCCTCACATTTAACTTGATCCAAACAGGGCGTTAGACGAGGGTCATTTATACAACACATTTTGCACATATTTTCTGAGATAATCTTCTTTTCTGTAGATTTAGAGTTCACAAATGAGTAATACAACTGGATTAAAGCATAGAAACACAAATATTGACACATGAAAACCTGTCAGATAGAAAGTCAGAATGCCACTTATGCATCAAAATTGAAAAAGCTATGAAATGCTTATTTTGACCATATAATGCCAAAATTGGTCATTTTTGCAGAAATTCTATCAAATAAAAGTTTAAATCCTTTAGTTTCATGGTATTGGACAAATTGACACCATCAAATCATTCAGGGAAGTTGCCAAAGTACAGATTCTATATTTCCTGATTTCACCTCTTAGGTCCGAGTACACAGTTATTTCGTAGTGCATTTCTTTTAGACAATAAATGAAAATTAAAAAAATCCCACCTGCGCTTTCTCAATAATATATTTACAGTGTGTTGTACTACTTTTGAGACAAATTATATCAAAATTATAGAAAACTTCATCGGCTCTAACTCAAAATATGGACAATTTTATGTTAAGGGGGTCTTGAAATCTTTTGACAGCTTCCGAAGTGCTTATTTTTAACCTTTTTCAGCTGTACCAAATCACTACTTGACTTTAAAATTCATGACCCAAATTTTTTTTACAGTGTAATTTCATCCCCCTACTTGCTATTTGAGGCATAAAACATGTAGAAATAAATTTGGAAGGGGTATAAAAAAAATTGGCAAGTAACACACTGTCCACACTAGGGACTATATTTGTGGACAACGAAAATCAAAGGACGATAACTGTGTACTCGGACCAGGTTACATGTACACACAATGTATCTGTGTACTTGTCATTTCAATCTCAACAGTGTACATGTACATGTATAAATTGTGCTGTAAATAAAATTACATGCTACATTTGTACATATTTAGTGATTTTACCAATTATGAAAAATTAAGATGTAGACATTCATGACAATCATGACAATATGTACAGTGGATATAAACCTGGCAGTCTCAATGGTGCATGTCACATGGTTTCTTATGTTTAAGTTGAATATTTAGTTGAGATATTTTGCACTGGAGTAATTCACTCTTCAAAATTATTGTTCATATACTGTCAGCATGGTAAATGAGTAGCATAAATTTTTTTATATGGTCACATATTCATGACATACTTAGTTCCTCTCAGCCTGTGTTATTTTTCAATTTAATAAAAGAAAAAAATATAAAGCAAATCTCAATATCACTACTCTAATCATAAAATTGAGAATGGAAACGGGGAATGCATCAAAGAGACAACAACCCGACCAAAGAGCAGAAAACAGCTCAAAGCTACCAATGGGTCTTTAACACAGCGAGAAAATCCCGCACCTGGAGGCGGGCTTAGTACTAAAACCTTAACATATAGAGATTAGCTGATTTGCTTATAATACATTGTGTATGATGAATTGGAATGGAAATGTCAGTTCAATAAGTTTACATTTTCAATGATGTCCAACTTGTGTTAAATGCTGTAAATAACTTTTACATTTTCAGTGATTGTCCAACTTGTGTTAAATGCTGTAAATAACTTTACATTTTAGTGATTGTCATACTGATGTTATGTGCTGCAAATTTACACCTGATGGTTCACAGCTTGCTATTGGTCTAATTGATGGGGTAATTTTGGTAAGTATAAGTAGTAAATGTGTTTATTACATTGGTTATTGTGATTTCCCAGTCAAATCAAAAACCTAGAATCTTCACATGTGCAAGAAATCCTGTAAATTTCACTCCTCTGACATCATACAACAATAGTTGTTGTCAGACATTGTCAGGGACCTTGTGTCAAAAAGTTCAAACATGTAGAAAAGGACATATATAGTGTCTAACATTTTCTATTTACATTTACAGTAAAAGTCAAAGTAATTTTACTGTTGTACTATTACACCACTGGCCCAGGTTAGTGGGGTGGAGTGAGCACTTACAAACATTAACCCTGCCACATTATAAGCCTGTCCCAAGCTTGGAATCTCTACATGCTGTAGTCATGTGTTTGTCATAGGTTGTTGTCCGCCATAATTGATCTTCCTTTAACGTAATGAGTTTGAATCAGATTAGTGGTGCTGCTCATTTTTATGATGTTGTTTAATGCCCAGCAGCAAATATTTCAGGAATATTGAAGACAAACTTATATATGTTTTATCTAATCTGACATAAATGTTGCATGCTTTAGCAGAAAAAGTAAAAAAGTTTAAAGTGTTCGGTTTGACACAGTTGGTGGTAAAACCCACAACCTACTGCAGTAGAGTGTAGAGGAGAACATGCTACCATGGGATGGTTAGGATATGGATAAACATGTTAAATATATTTAAAAGGGGATTAAGATTAGTGTGAATTCATTAATTCTATTTATAACCATGATAACAGTTTATTAAATATAATATATTCCTCATATTTTCTGTTTTTATCTGTCAAAAAATATTTTTAAAACTTTTCAAGTTTTATGGAATATTATTGCTAGAGATGTATTCTGAAAAGATTTTTGACCTTTCATCTGTACAGTATATTGGTTATTATAAATATGATTAAGATATGATGTTTTACTATTGAACTGATTGGTAGTATTTTAACTACAGGTATATAACCACATTGAAAACCAATTATTACTCCGTCTACGAGATGAGGATATAGATAACTTTCATCTACCAGTCACACAGATTAGATTTCCTGTATTCCCGTGTATTGGAGCGGTAGAGGAAAATAAACTACTGGCATCATGTGAGTATATCATTTATTTACTGGTTCAATAAATCAGATTTCCTGTCTTCCCCTGTGGTGTCAGAAAATAGAGAACAACTTCTAACATTATATAAGAAAGCAGCCAAAGTTGGGTCTGCAAATCAGATTATCTGTCTTCCCCTGTGGTGTCAGAAAATAGAGAACAACTTCTAACATTATGTAAGAAAGCAGCCAAAGTGGGGCTTGCAAATCAGATTCTCTGTCTTCTTCTGTGGTGTCAGAAAATAAAGAACAATTTCTGGTATCATGTAAGAAACCAGCCAAAGAGGCAAACTCAGATTCTCTGTCATCCCCTGTGTTGTTAAACACACCACACCCAAACACAAGTTACACAAATCAGACACACTGTTTTTGGCTTCAGTGGCAGAATTGGAAAAAACTTCTGGCATCATGTAAAAACCCAGTTATACATAGGTCAGACAAAACTTGTAAGTGCCAGTTGTACTAATCAGATTATCTGTTTTTCGAAGGAAAAATCGGTTATTGATTTGGGGATGTACGGCGGGCTGGCGGGCGGCTGCCAAACAGTGTCCGTTCATTAACATGCAAATGCGTTGACGAATTTTTTTCAAATTTTGATATGTTGCTTCCTGTGACTAAATGAAGGTCAAGTTCAATTTTCACGATCTTAGCTTCTCTCGTTTTTGGGTTTTCAACTTTTTAGAAGTCCAAATATATACTTATTATACGATTGAGTTATTTCCCTTTGAACAGAAATTGTGATTTGCAAATATTATTTTCATTAGATAATAATCTATTTTTATTAAAGGATATATTTCATTACATTACATTATGTAGATAAAATTGTTGACATTGATAGGTAAGTTGCAGATCTATATTAGTTTGTGACAAATGAAAGAAAAAATATTGGGAACTATTAATTATATATATACAGATTGATTACATTAAGTGTTTTTAAATAATTTTCACCTGTTAATAGATAACAAAACATCTGGTAAATATCTTATCACACAATTATAATTGTGCTGCGTTCACACGTAATTCGAATTCGATTCGCATTAACTAATTCGAATTAGTTTAATTCGCATTCGAAACGTTTAACGTCCAAACGTAAATTCTAATTCGAATTGCAATTCGCGTCAAATTCGCTTTACTGTCCTAACGACGTTAACTTTTAATTCGTATTAACAAAAACGCATTTTTAATGCGAATTGGATAATGCGATTTAGCCAATTCGAATCAATTCGAATTAAAAAAGAAGAGTGTGTGAACGCGATTAGCGAATTCGATTCGCATTCGATTCGAATTCAATTCGAATTAAATGTACGTGTGAACGAGGCATTGGAATGCCAGATTTATTTGAAAATTTTCTGTTTCCTAAGTGTTGATGATAAGATCTGTAGGACAGTATAAATAAAGTTTGAAATTTACTGTTCATTATTAGACATTTTGAAGATAATCTCAGATAAGTTTTATAGATTTTTAATAGATATTGTATTAATGATAAATGACATTTTGGATTTTTTTTCATCTTTTCTTTCCTAAATTAAACTTTTATTCTTGGGGTTCTTTGATATGCTAATGATAACAATGTTATTAGATTTTGGATATTGGACCATAATAGGTAAATTTCTGATTTCAAATTTTTCAGTTCTTTGACCACATTCATTTTGTGTCACAAATCTATACTGTGTCAAATATTCAATCACAATCCAAATTCAGAGCTGTTTTAAGCTTAAATGTTGTGTCCATACTTGCTCAACTGTTCAGGGTTCGACCTCTGCAGGAAAATCTGGTTTGCTGTCACTATGACAGCCATTTGTCTTCAGCTATTTTTATACGACCGCAAAAAAATTTTGTGGTCGTATATTGGTATGACGTTGGCGTCGTCGTCGTCGTCGTCGTCGTCGTCGTCGTCGTCCGGCATCGTCGTCGTCCGGCGTCGTCGTCCGGCGTCGTCGTCCGAATACATATTGGTTTTCGCACTCTAACTTTAGTTTAAGTGAATGGATCTTTTTGAAATTTGACCATAAGGTTAAATACCACAAAAGGAAGGTTGGGATAGATTTTGGGGGTTATGGTACCAACAGTTAAGGAATTAGGGGCCAAAAAGGGGCCAAAAATGAGCATTTTCTAGTTTCCAGACAATAATTGTGGAACGGTGTATGGATCTCTCTGAAATTATACTACAAGTTTCCATACCACAAAGGGATGGTTAGGATTTGCTTTGGGGGGTTATGGCTCAAACCGTTTAGGAATTAGGGGCAAAAAAGGGGGAAAAACAAGGTTGTCCTGGTTAATGGACAAATACTTTAGTACAAAACATAATTTAAAGCAGTGTAAGGGAGATAAATCAAATACATCATTGAAATTATCTCCCTTACACTGCTTTTAAATTATGTATAAAGTAATGGTTAATGAACAATAAAGATAATCTAAAACAGTGTAAGGGAGGTAATCCAAATACAACGTTTTGGTTACTTCCCTTACACTGCTTTTAAATTATGTTTAAAGAAATGCATATTTATAAAGGAAGACCAGTAAAAATATCTGCAAATGTTTTCATCTTTTTTTTTTACAAAAAAATCCATATGAAAGATTTGACACTATATTTTTATTAATTCTATTATAAAATAGATTAAGTTAGCACTATGGTAAATTTAAATGGGTAATTATGGTTGCCAACTCCATTGGAAATTTGAATTGAGATTATGACCATATCTTGAGGGAAAGAATTTTTTGGGGGAAAAAAGGGGGGGGGGATAAAAAGAAATTGTGGGGGGCCAATTTTTTCTCATTTCAGATTTCAGAAATTAAAAAGAATTATTCTTCAAATATTTTTTTTTTTTCAAATTTCAAATATTGAAAAATTTCAAGAAGTAATCTTTAATTGCACAGTATGGCGCATTAGATTTGTAAAATCTTTGATCACATTTATTTATTTGTTATGCCGAATCTAACAGTGTATTTAGATTTTTAATTTTGGGTCCAGTTTTCAAATTGCATTAATGTCCAAAGGGTCCAAAATTAAACTTTGTTTGATTTTAGCAAAAATTGAATATATGAGGTTCTTTGATATGCTGAATCTAAACATGTATTTAGATTTTTGATTTTTGGCCCAGTTTTCAAGTTGGTCCAAATTGGGGTCCAAAATTAAACTTTGTTTGATTTCAACAAAAATTGAATATATGGGGTTCTTTGATATGCTGAATCTAACCATGTATTTAGATTTTTTATTTGTGGACCCCGTTATCTAATTGGTTCATATTGAGGTCAAAAGGGTCCAAAATTAAACTTTGTTTGATTTCATCGAAAATTGAATTATTGGGGTTCTTTGATATTCCAAATCTAACCGTGTATTTAGGTTTTTAATTTTTGGTCCTGTTTTTTTAAATTGGTCTACATTGAGGTCCAAAGGGTCCAAAATTAAACTTAGTTTGATTTTAACAAAAATTGAATTCTTGGGGTTCTTTGATTTGCTGAATCTAAACATGTGTTTAGATTTTTGATTATGGGCCCAGTTTTCAAGTTGGTCCAAGATAGGGTCCAGTATTTAAACTTTGTTTGATTTCAACAAAAATTGAATATATGGGGTTCTTTGATATGCTGAATCTAAACATGTATTTAGATTTTTGATTATGGGCACAGTTTTCAAGTTGGTCCAAATTGGGGTCCAAAATTAAACTTTGTTTGATTTCAATAAAAATTGAATATATGAGGTTCTTTGATATGCTGAATCTAACCATGTATTTAGATTTTTTATTTGTAGGCCCCGCTATCAAATTGGTTCATATTGAGGTCAAAAGGGTCCAAAATTAAACTTTGTTTGATTTCATCGAAAATTGAATTATTGGGGTTCTTTGATATGCCAAATCTAACCGTGTTTTTAGATTTTTAATTTGGGTCCCGTTTTTTAAATTGGTCTTCATTGAGGTCCAAAGGGTCCAAAATTAAACTTAGTTTGATTTTAACAAAAATTGAATTCTTGGGGTTCTTTGATATGCTGAATCTAAACATGTGTTTAGATTTTTGATTATGGGCCCTGTTTTCAAGTTGGTCCAAGTTGCGGTCCAAAATTAAACTTTTTTTGATTTCAACAAAAATTGAATATATGGGGTTCTTTGATATGCTGAATCTAACCATGTATTTTGATTTTGGACATTGGACCATAATAGGTAAATTAAAAAAATTCAAGTTCTTAGACCACATTCTTTCTGTGTCAGAAACCTATGCTGTGTCAAATATTTAATAACAATCCAAATTCAGAGCTGTATCAAGCTTGAATGTTGTGTCCATACTTGCCCCAACTGTTCAGGGTTCGACCTCTGCGGTCGTATCAAGCTGCGCCCCAGCGAAGCATTTTATTTAAACATGGAAGCGACAGCAACCCAAAGAAGAGAGAGAAAGGGAATCAAACACCAAATGAAGTTTCCTGAATTTGTGAGTGGTGGTTTAAAACTATGAACATCATGAGAGTTCTACCCTTGACTGTTATAGATTTACAGGACATAAGAGAATACTTGTGAGCATAATAAAAATCCTCATTCCTGTCTGAATTTATTAAATCCTCTAACTTCATTGAACTATACATGTATATCATGAATAGAATTCTCATATTGATTTGTTTTAACTTTAATCTGTTAATTTTGTTAGATGCATCTGGTCATATAAAACTATGGAACTACACCACTGGTTCTTGTCTAAATACAATGATAGAAAACAGACAGTCACTGAACGTGACATACAGTCCCGATGGCCTACGGTTCGTCACCACAGGAGAAACACCTGAACTGTTTGTGTATGATAGAACAACAAGGAAAAAAATACTTACATTAGAGCCAAGGTATAGATATATATATATATATATATAGGTTGTGTAAGATAGAACAACAAGGAAAAAAATACTTACATTAGAGCCAAGGTATATATATATATATTTATATATAGGTTGTGTTAGATAGAACAACAAGGAAAAAAATACTTACATTAGACCCAAGGTATACATATATATATATATAGGATGTGTAAGATAGAACAACAAGGAAAAAAATACTTACATTTGAGCCAAGTTATACATATAGATATATAAAGGTTGAGGATGATATAGAAAATGAAAAAGATGAAAAAAATTATATATATGTTAAAAGGTTTTTTAAAGGTATTTCTTTCTGGCATTATGCTGAAATGCTTCTGATTGAGTATTATTGTTGTGCAATTCATGTCAGGAGTTGGAACACTTACAGTTTAAGAGATTTGTCTCTAGCTGATGGTGGGAAAATCTTTGATGTGGACTGGTATTAAAGAGAGATGGAAAATGGCTGCATTGATTAACTTTCAACAGAAATGTCATTCACACTACTGATCAATAAAGTTGTCATAGAATTTTTTCCTCTCGATAGATTTGGAATGGTTTTTTTTGTTGGAGATCTTTAAAGGACATGACTACTTACATGTTTTATGAAATTCACACAAATTAGCGGTAAATTTTCCTTTTTGTTACCAGGGCTGTTCCAAAATAGAGAGGTGGATGGGAGGCAAACAAGATAGTTAATTGTGGGTGGTTGCATTTTGCCTAGAATTTTTGAAGAATTATAAATAAAATGAATATGTTCTGTTATGGTTGGGGTCTATAAAAAGTGTCTCCCATGCCTTCCATGTGTTTGATTCTGGAACAACCTTTAGCCCAATAGTCACTGAATTGCCTTATAATGCACGTTGGAATTTTTCAGATGCAGTAGAATTTTATTGAATTTTCCTTAGTGGAAAGGCTCACACAGGTAAGATAAGTAATTTTATGATTTAGATATACATTTCAATCATTCTTTTATTAAAAATTGTTGATGTTGTTTATCTTTTTTTATTGCAGCATATCAACTCTCTCTTTTTCTCCAATGCAAGTATTTGTATATTTTTAAAGACATTTGGTAAAGGAATGCACAACGACACAGTGTGAAACTTTATCAATATCTATGCTTTTTGGAATAAATTACAAAAATATATATGGTATTAAAAAAATTCCTTTTGCTGTATCGATAGAATATTTGGTATTATATGAATTAGGATCATCAGTTATTTGTGAAAAATAACTTCACTCACCTTGATTATTTTCTTCTGACATTTGTCATGGAAAACTGGGGAAATTGACAAAAGTTGTATTTTTCAGTTTGAAAAGAGAAAAGAGCACAGACTCTGTTTAAAAGAAAAGATAAATGTGACTTGCATTTCATGCTTTCATGATTTATAATAACCAAGGGTTCATAGTGGTATAGTTAAAGTCATCCTTTCCAAACTTTTATGGACACCATTGATAATTAAATAAGGCCGTTGTTTTTTTCGTTTGAATTGTTTCATTTTGGTATGTCAAAGCTTTTTATAGCGGACTATATGGTTTGGGTTTTGATCATTGTTGAAGGCTGTACAGTGACCTATACTTGCTTAAATCTGCTTCAATTGGACTAGGTTTGGTAGTTGGCTCATTGGCAATCATACCACATCTCATTTTATACCAAAGTATTGTATTAAAGTGTTTTGAAAGTTATTGTTACTTATTTTACTTCACAACTTAGATGGGAACCACATTAATAGAACGTTTTATACTCATGCACTTGGTTACAGCATTTGTCAGTTTTTGTCTGTTTGTTACTTGAAGTTAAAACCTTATATATGTATACACTCAAATTTTATGTTTTATTTTATGTAAATCTTGTTTTTGCAAATTATTGAAAGCATCACAAATAAATCACATACCATTAAAAACATATGCTCAAAATATATTTTTTGGGGAATTTCTCTAAATTACTATGCATATATAGATAACTTGTTTATAAAGAATTATAATTTATCTGGTACCCTGTTTGTTATCTAATTTTCCACTTACTAGACAGAGTTATTTTCCCCCAGGTAACGTGTTGCGGGGGACATGGAAATACCGGGTGTCTGTCCGTCTGTCCTGTCTTGTTAGCATAAAACTTATATCATAGGTTTATATCAGCAATGTCTTGGACAAGTTCCAAAATCAGTGCCGATCAATTATTTTTAAAAGAGTTATGCCCCTTTGACACATTAATTTTATGGAAAATTGCATCGTTAGCGCTCTTCATGTGTACAATTCTTGCCAGATTTTTATGAAACTTAGATCATAGGTTTATATCAGCAATGTCTTGGAACGAATTCCAAAATCAGTGCCAATCAGTTATTTTTAAAAGAGTAATGCCCCTTGGAAACATTAATTTTATGGAAAATTGCATTGTTAGCACTCTCATGTACAATTCTTGTCAGATTTTTATGAAATTTATTTTATAGGTTTATATCATCAATGTTCTTGAAGAGTTCAAAAATCAGTGCCAATCAATTATTTTTAAAAGAGTTATGCGAGAGAAAAAAGCAACTTCTTAAGAGATCATGGGATATACAGTAAGCATTGTACCACCCTGATTAACAACACCCTGCATTATTGCTTCTTAATCATTTACACCTGATTTTCAGTGATACTCATCAGAAATTAGATGGCCATTGTTTTAGAGTATTTGCAGCTCAGTATCACCCTGATGAACCTCATCTATTCCTTTCTGGAGGCTGGGATGACACAGTGCATGTAAGTGGAAAATTAGACAATTAAGTTTATTCTAAAGACACCATCTTGTAACTGCAAATATTTATACTGTAAATTCAGAAATGTTGCAATGTTTTTATGGTGAAAAATGCGTTGGTATGGTATTGCAAAAATATAAACATGCATTTTGATAGCATTATTACTTTTTCAAAATCACAATAATATATCTCGTTTTCTTTTTAACATTCTTCAAAATTTGCCAAAAAATAAATGCATGCAAATGTTTTTGAATTTACAGTATATATGGAAGGCTCCTTGACAACCATAATAATGAATAATGTCAATAATGAAAAATATTCAGATATGATATACGACAACTCCCAACGAGGTTCCTAACTTGGGACATAGAAATAGTTTTGTTAGCAAAAAACAAGTGAAATCACCAGACTATGAACAATATGTAGAATCAGATATCTGAAGAAAAACATCATTTTGAAGTTGATATCATAACCTATTAACCTTCATGATTAAAAATATAAAAGTAAAATTTGTATAAAGCAAAAGAAAAAAAAAGAAAAGAAAATACAATAAATACACATTTTCTCTATGCTTGAATGCAGACTTTGCCATTGATAAAACCATGAAATCAAATAGCACCAAAAATACAATTTTTTCCTCAACAAAAATTAGTGCCCACAAAAAATTATCCACTGTATCATAATTTCCAGGACAATATAAATCCTGATACTTCATTCAGTATAACAACAAAAAACCAATGAAAATAATTTTGAAACAATTGTATTTCAGTATTGGGATGACAGAAAGAAGCATTCCATTAGGTGTGTATTTAATGTATCAAGGTTGCAATTCTGTAAATATAGACAATGCAATTTCCCATAGGAACTCCCTTTGCGGCTAAAAATGTGCCACTTTAACTATGAAGTTTCATGAAAAATTATATTCCAGAACGGAAAGTTGATATGCACTACTATTTTATTCAAAGGTCAAAATATAGGGCTGTGCCGCATATTTTCAACATTTATATGCCCTGAACTTCTAAGAGTTTATAAACTTATACAAAACTCTATTCTACCTCTACCTCAACTTTTGGACCTCCTAAGAATTAAGTTTTAGGCGCTACCATGTTTTTATACGACCGCAAAAAAATTTTGCAGTCGGATATTGGTATGACGTTGGCGTTGTCGTCGTCATCGTCCAAAGACACATTGGTTTTCGCACTCTAACTTTAGTTTAAGTGAATGGATCTCTATGAAATTTTACGATAAGGTTCAATACCACAAAAGGAAGGTTGGGATTGATTTTGGGGGTTATGGTACCAACAGTTAAGGAATTAGGGGCCAAAAATAAGCATTTTTGTAACTTCCGGACATAAATTGTGTGTTAGTGTATGGATCTCTCTGACATTGTACCACAAGGTTCCATATCACAAAGGGAATGCTGGGATTGATTCTGAGGGGTAATTGCCTCAAAATTTTAGGATTTAGGGGCTAAAATGGGGGCAAAAAAACAAGCATTTTTCTAGTTTCATGACAATAACTTGTGTGTAAGTGTATGGATCTTTCTGAAATTGTACTACAAGGTTCCATATTACAAAGGAAAAGCTGGAATTGAGTTTGGGGGTAAATGCCCAAAACGATTAGGAATAAGGGGCCAAAAAGGGGCCAAAAATAAGCATTTTTCTAGTTTCCAGACAATAACTTGTGTTCAAGTGTAAGGATCTCTCTGAAATTGTACTGCAAGGTACCATACCACAAAGGGAAGGCTGGGATTGAGTTTGGGGGTAATTGCCCTAAAATTTTAGGAATTAGGGGCCAAAATGGGGGCAAAAAGACAAGCATTTTTCTAGTTTCCAGACAATAACTTGTGTTCAAGTGTATGGATCTCTCTGAAATTGTACTGCAAGGTACCATACCATAAAAGGAAGGCTTAGATTGAGTTTGGGGGTGATGAATCATAAGGGGGTTCAAAAATTGGGGGGGAGGGATTTTTTTTTCCGTTTTTTTTCTTTAAAATTTTTCATTTTAAATTTGTTATTTCTGATTTATATGTAAAAGCAAATAATAATGATATGGTTTGAATAGGTCAATTAATAATTTATAAATTCTTAGACCACATTCATTCTGTGTCAGAAACCTATGCTGTGTCAAATATTTAATCACAATCCAAATTCAGTGTGTATCAAGCTTGAATGTTGTGTCCATACTTGCCCCAACTGTTCTGGGTTCGACCTCTGCGGTCGTATCAAGCTGCGCCCATTTTATGTTATTATCATGGTAATTTTTCATAATAGATGAGATTCTAACTGATATTTTTTTTGTTTCCAGATCAATAAGTGGTCCACATATATGTGGTGATGCAATAGATATTGATCCTATTGGTAAAAAAGCAGTATTAACTGGTTCATGGAGGAGACAATGTCCATTAGAGGTAGGTTTTTATGTCAGGCTAAATACCTTATTTATAAATAAACACAATTGTATTTGTGTGATGACTGTTTATGCTTTGATGTTTGCCTTGATTTACATTAAAACCATACCAAGTGTTCTGACTGATTCCTTTAATTTGAGTATTTTGGCTGTAGTGATATTTTGATTTATTTGCCGCCTTTTATCAACCAAGATGTATTTCAACAAAGCAAAAAAACTTGTGTTTTACTTTAGAGTTGCCTTTTTAAAAATTATCATGGTCCGTGGGATGGCTTTTTTTTCTTCGCAAGCTGGAAAATCATATATTTTCATATCTTTACCTAATCTGGTTTCAGTATAGTACATATCCGATAACCACAAGCTAGTCATTTGTAATCTTTCTGTGAACAAAAATCGATAAAAGACTGTTAACTTGGATTTGATATTAAAATTTTACATGTTAAACAAACATGTTTTTTGACTAAATCAATTTTTCTCCAGACTTTATGGGAAATATTACCAAATTAACAGGGATTTTATCAGACTTTTGCCAGTGTCAGACAAAGCTGTGGAATGACTGCTTTAAGAAGGATTTTGCTTCCTTGATCAGTGGAACACATCAGCTTGTTTCTACTCTTGCATTTACACTAAAAACATGAAAACAAAGGGTGCCACTTTGTTCAATGTTCTAGATATTCTTTATAAAATACAACCCTGTCCTTTTAAGATCTAGAGACTTTTATTCTTTTTCGTTGACTCTTGACAGAAACCTTTTCTTTGAAATATAAGGCTGTCATTTTCTGGTTATATCTTTCATTCTTTGTATTTTCATGTTTGGTGTCTTACCTTTTATATTTTGTGGTTTTACCTTTGATCATTTCTGTATTTTTGTATTACTGTAAATACAGAATTTAATGGATGCATTAATTATTGTGAATCCTTGAACCGGCAAAAATGAAAATCTAATTATAAATAATTGCAAAAATTTTATAAAGGAAAATCACTACTAAGATTATGAATGCAATTTTTTATTATTGCAAACCTGAAAGTGTTTCATTCTTTAAAATATCACAATAATATCTGAATTTACAGTACTTGAAACCACATTTAATTGTGAAATTTGTATTGTTATACATGAAACTTTTTCTTTAAGTACCTGTACAATGCAGATAATATATTTCAGGTTTGGGATTTTGATACTGGAAGAAAGATGAAAGATATCCCCTCTGAACCTTTGTGTCATTGTCAGGTAAGACTAGTTGTCAGAAATGATTTATGCTTGTAGGACCCCGTTCACACTAGCATTTTTTTTAATCGATCTAATATGAATCGATCTAAATAAAACCAGTTAGCGTTCACATTATCTTTAATCATAAAGATCTCTGTTGGTCTAATCTGAACCACTGCGTTCACACTACAAGTAAAAATGCAATCGATCTGACCCATTTACTTGTAAAACTGTAAACATTGTGTATAAATAGAAATAATCAAATTTATGTGTTGATACACACACTTAAAAAAATGGACGAAGTTATTGTTTCTCTTGAATCACATGTTCAAATTTTCATACTGGTGTTCTTGCAGTTTTCATGAATTTTGAAACAAAAAAACTGTAGCAAAGAAGTCACAACATGAAGAAATGCTGCGGTTTCTGAAAAGAAAAAATCAACAGAAGAAAAAAAGACATATTTTGCAAATTTATGCAACGGCGAAGACAACTTTTTTCCCTGTTTGTTTACACAAAGTTCTGATAACAGAGAAATGTGAATTAAACAACGAACCACCAATATATACAGGGATGTTATGTTATTACACTTAACATGCGCATAAATTATTTTCGTTTCAATCGTACAAGTTTAAACCGATGTTTGCGTTCACATTTAAAGTTAGATCGGTTCACTTTAGATCGATTCAAACTAAACTACCTCTTTTGGTGTTTTAGTTTAGACCGATTAAAGATCGATTCAAAGCGTTCACATTAGCCCTTAAACCGATCTAAAGTGAACCGATCTAGTTTAAATCGATCTAAATGTCCTAGTGTGAACGGGGTCTTACTCATTGTGGGCTGTCTGAGCAATATTGATATTTATATCTATTAATATAACAATTTTTGTCGAGCCTATAAATTTCGCGACAGCAAAACAAAGCGATCCTAGATGTCGGCGTTGGCACCATCAACATTTAGGTTCAGTCTTTGGTTAAAGTATTATTTATAGACATCAATAACTTTGTCAAACCTACATGAAATTTTATGAAATTTGGACAGAAGCTTGTTTATGAACAAAAGACAGTATCCAGTGTGAAATTTTGAAAATATCTATTTTCATTTTTCCGTTTTTTACTAATAAATGGACTTATTTTTTTTACAATTAACACTCCAGCTCAGTCTGAGGTTAAAGTTTTTCAGTCATCAATAACTTTGTCAAACCTTCATGGAAATTTAGGATATTTGGATGGATGCTTGTTTATGACTTAAATACAGTATCCAGAGCAAAATTTTTTTCCCTATTTCACTAATAAATGGATTTTGTTTTTTACAGTAAACAAGTAGATACAGTCTGGGGTTTGTTACACATCAATTACTTTGTCAAACCTTCATAGAGTTTATGAAACTTTGGCAGAAGCTTTTTAATGATTAAGAGATAATGTCTGAGGCAAACCTATATTTTTTTTCATATTTAGTATTTTTCTGATAGATGGACTTACTTGTTTGCTACATCCAGTTCATTTGAACATTTGTTGGAAAGTTGTCTCATTGGCAATCATACCACATCTCCTTATTTTTATATTAGTTTTACAGTAAACATTTACAGACAGTCTGGGATTAAATTTTGTTGACATGATTAATTTGTAAACCTTCATGGACTGTTATAAAACTTGAACAGAAGCTAATCTTCAAGACCAAGAAAAAGCATCTAAAGAAAAAGTTGTAATTTTTTTTTAAATTCTGTACTTTACTGATAAATGGACTCACTTTTTAAGCCAACATTACACTTTTGCACTGACAGCACCAATTGCAGGCGAGACACACGGTTCCCTTACAAATTTTTAATTAGCACATTTAGTTTATAAGGGTTTCCACTCTATCTTGAAATCTATAAAAAGCCTAGAATGTTATCTCAGTTGTTTCAGACCTGGAAATGCCCTTGAAATTTGTGAAAAAATGGCAGAAATCCTAGAAATACACTTGAATTTCTATGGAACCGTAGCTTCTTTTAAGCTAACAACTATTTCTCCTTCACAGTTCCAGCTCTGATTCTACTCTACTTTGAACTGTACAATGATTTCTGTACAAGAAGGCTTGCCCAAATGTAGTTTTTTGGGGGGTAAAAATTGCATGAAATGCAATCAAAACCCTATGGTCATGATGGTACTGACTTGATATCTAAATCTTCCAAGGTTTATCACTACTTTTGAGATACACAAAATATAGTGCATTGATCATAACATTCTAAACATCCTATCCATGAACATTTCCAGAAATTTATCAGTGAAAGATATGCTCAGATATTCAAGTTACAAAATGATGTTATACTTGTCAAGAAAGTTACATAATTTGTGCATGGAGCTGGAATCTAATATTTGTTCTAAAAATATCAATGATGTCATTGTTAAAGTAATCTTTAAAATTGGAGTTATCTTCCTTTGTCCATAATTGTAGTTGAATCAAACTACAACCAATGCTTTATACAATGCAATGTATAATTTGACTTCCCACTGATAAATTAAAGCAAAATTTACCCTTCAGTGCTTACAAGCACTTTGATTAATCAAAGTTGTTTATGATTTCTTTAACAATGTATTCTGAAACTGTCATTAAAAATGACAAAGCCTGTAAGTTTTTGTTGCAGAAAGAGTGTGAAAACTGGTTTATATGATGACAAATGTTTTTTTTTATGTTTTAGCTTTACTGTTGTCAGTGGTTGGCTAAGGAGAGCGTTCTATGTGGAGGGTCCGATGGTAACATGGCAAAAGTAGTAAACTGGTTTACATTAAGTGTATGTATGCCATATAACATATTATCAACCATAAAGGATTTTTTAGCACTTGAATTGCAAAAATAAAAATTACTTATAAAAATCTGGAATGTAACTTGATAGACTTTAAATACTTTGATATTTTCAAAGTCAAGGACTAATAAACTGTTTCCTTTTTTATTGAACACCACCAAAAAATATGGTTCATATTCTCACATTTAAAAAAACATGCATTTGCTCATATATTCCAGCATATGAACCCATTGTAGACTGAAATATACACTTCAACCATTTATGCTCTGTTTGGGAGCATATTATAAATATATTCCCAGAAAACGCACCAGCAAAAGTAGGGAGCAAGTTTTGAGGAACAAGATATATACATGTCACAGCTACTGCACCAGACACAGCAAATAATTTGCTAAGCACAATGATTTCATTAATACAAGAAAGCAAAGTTTAGAGAAGAAAATAACACAATCAGTCACAATAATAAATTCAAACCACTGGTGTATTAAAGCTACCAGAAGTTATAAATTGGACAAATTTTTAATGTGAACACTTGTTAGAGTAATGATATAGATTTTAATGGTTTTTTATTTTTTTCAGACAAAAGGCTTACTGACAGATCTCCCTCAAGGAGTATACTGTATAGACAATGATAAAATAGGTAGTAGACCACTGTTGGCAGTAGGTAGTAAAAGTAGAATTTACCTTATCAAACCAGAGAAAGACTTTTAAACAAGGGATGATGACTGTGTGTGGATGTTGAAGAAAAGATCCAGATAGTGTCAGTGATAAATGCAGACTTGAATTTATGTTTTCTTTGTCATTTTGAAATTTATGTCAAATTGAAAATAATTTAATTTTGGATGTAACACGTCTCCTGATTGGCTGAAAATGTTATGTCTATCAGCTCATAGACATAATTTTGTCATGTGACTGTGTTGTCACCAACGTTTTTTTTCAAAATTTACTCCTTAAAAATGGAATTTAGAATTAAATTATAAGGAATGACTGTAATATTTTTTCTGTCTACTCGAAATAACCTAAAAAATGTGGTGCACACTTTCAAATAACCCGCTATGCAGGTTATTCAGTGTGCAACACATTTTTGATGTTATTTCGAATAGACAGAAAAAATATTACAGTCATTCCTTAAATAACTAAAATTTTATTGATATAATGAAAATAATTTTTTTAATGATCTTCTATGGGCATGACATGTTTATGCAAAAGTTTTGTATTTTGTAGTACAGAAATTATCTCCCTTTAACATATTCATGTTACAGTTGAATATGATGCTTAATCAAAGTGTTTTGACAAAGAGTATATTGTGCTTACTGAAAAAAAGTAAGATCAAGGAATTATGAGGGCTGCCAATCGCCTGACATTTTCTAAATTTTTCCTATATTATAAACTTTGACTTTAATGTCATAATGAATACAACGCTCTCAGACTTACAATTGTCAAATTATGTACTCAGTACAAAACCCCTTGGGAGCAAACTAGTGAAATATACAAATTTTGGGTAATATAAGAAAACTGTTTGTACTTTTTCATAGTTTTACAGTTAAGATCATAACTGTTTGAATTTTTGTAGTTTTACAGTGATCTGAATAGGAAGTCAACATGTTAGAACAACACTTAATAAATTTTTTGTTATTTACTCTTTGTATGTATTACAAACATGTCTTAAAGAATATTCTGGATGATTGTAAATGTTGTAAAACCAATTAACTATTCAGTATGCTATACACATTTTGGACTCAACTCCTCCTACTTGGCTTCTTCCAGTGTCATAAAACTTTGCACTGATCTTAATATGAAGATGTGCATATGAGGAGGGCATTTTAGTCAATTTACATATACAAGGGGCAGGCCCCTTTGCACTCATAATTTTTTTATATTATTCAATCTGCACTTTGTGAATGCAAAACCTCACACATGCTTCATCAGATGTTCTTTCGCCTTGGCCAAGTCACGAAAGAGAGAAAACAGTGCTGTGTCTGCTGGCAGTTTCAGCAATGTATAGGTATTGTGTCAGTTTAAGGGAAATCACTAGTGGTAGCTATATAGACCAATGATATTTGGTATGCAGTTGTATTAGCATTTGCACTTCTCACATCCATGGAGATTATTTGAAGTCTTGGTATATTGACTTTGAAACTTTTGCATAGTTTGCATGTTAAAAATATGATCAGGTCAGTTTAAGATGAACCACTAATTGTTAGTCAATGATATTTGGTATCAGTTTTATTATCATTTGCAAGTCTCATTTCCATAGAGATTATATGGCCCAGCACCCTCAGTCTTTGAAACTTTTCATAGTTGACATGTTAAAGTTTTTGTTTAGGGGAGCGGCTTATGATATGTCAATTTTATATGGTATGTAATTGTATAATAATTAGTATTTCTAATTTCCACTGAGATTATTTGGCCCTGCATCTTCAGTCATGGTTCATTGTCTTTGAATGTTTTGTATAGTTTACACATTATAGAATTGCCATTTTTATTTCAACATTTGCATTTTACTTTCAAAATTAGACAGCGAGACATTTCTTGCTGTTTCAACAGTTTATTATACTATTCAGTATTTTAACAAGATATTTGAGGATACCTAAAAGGGGAAGCAGGGATATTTGTTCTGCTATGTGGATGGTTCTATTTTAAATTCATCTCAGAAAAACTAGAATTAAGCCCTATGTCCATATACCTGTTCTATGAAGTTTGTTAAACAGGGATTGATTTGATATTTAAATGTCTAGAGCATGACTACAACCAAAATTCTCTTCTCTCAACTATCAAATATGGATTTATGTTTTTTATTCCCTGCATACGATAGTTGGGGTGCATTATGTTTTCTTGTCTGTTCGTCTCCCCATCTTTCAGATTCTGTCCTGTATAAGGTTAAAGTTTTGGTTTAAGGTAGCTTTACCATAGAAGTTTTTATCAGATTTCAGAGTAAACCGAACATAGAAAGTTGATAGTTTGAGCAGGGAATTGTGTCCTATGGACAATTTTTTGTTTATTATTCTATATGATGTCTCTTAAATGTATTTAAGTTGCTATTTATCTCGTGAAAAAAAAAACAGCTTTACAGCTCTTTTCATAATGCTAGCAAGGCAAAGGTTTGTTTGACTTACTTGCTTTGTTTGTATAAATGTTTGCTCAAGCATTGTAATTAAGATTGATAACTGCAAACAATATAAGTAGGCGGAGTTAAACCTGTGTAAAGATAAATTTGATTATTTGATAATGTCCAATCAAATTTAAATACTGTAAATTCAGAAATTATTGCGTGCATTTATTATTGCGATTATATCATTTTAGACTAAAATGCGATTTTAATTTTAGCGATATTGAGAAAAATCCTGTTTGATTCATATAAAAAATTTCAAAGGCGAGTTTAAATTATTGCGATTATAACCCTGTCGCATTTTTCGCAATAATAAAAACATCGCAATAATTTCTGAATTTACAGTATAATGTATACAAGTTAAAATCCGCCTTTTTATGTTGTTTTCATATGTCAATCTTAATGACAATGCTTGAGCAAACATTGACACAAACAAAGCTAGCAAGCCAAACAATTCTTTGTCTTGCTAGCATTATGAAAAGAGCTGTAAGTTAATTTATGTTTTAAAATTTAAAACAGCATTCTTTCTTAAATTGTAATCAACAACATAGAAATTATGTTGTTTTAAAAATATGTGAGACATCATAAACTTCACTGTATATATTTTATTTTCTTTGTTTTTAATAGATGGTGTTTTATGTGAAAATTAATAATCAAGCATATATACAGTGCATTTTCATGAGGGAAAAATTGAAATGTTTATTTTCCATTAAATGGATAACAAGGAGCATAGTACAATATGTAGTAGACATTATATTACACACTAATAAATCAAGTTAGGTACAAAGTACATTAGTAAAAACAGTTTGATCATGCATAATATATGGTATTTATTATAGTGTTTGTTTGTATGCATCAGTCTTGACTATTAAATCAAATTTAATAAGTTATCACTTTCATCTCACTTCTGTGCTATGTATTAAATGTTTTCAGCATTGCAATAAACATGAATAAAACAATTCTGTTATTATAATGCTGCACTGCTACACTTTATCTAAATTATCTGTAAAAAAAAATAAAGGGGCAAAAGATACCAAAAAGACATTTTCAACTCATACACCGAAGAAAAACTGAAAATGCCATGGCAAAAACTAATAAGGAATGAGCTGTCAAATTGACACCAAACTGGGTTTTCTGTATTTTGAAAGCTACTTTCAGGCTTTCTTGACCTGCAACATTCTATACCTATTATCCAATCTATCAAGGACCATAACTCCTGAACAGCAAATATGAAAATCGTCATTATCAAACTTGACTACAATTTTGTCATCAGTAACAGCATATTAAAATTTTATGAGCATTGGCTAAACGGTTCATATGTAATTGAACAGAAACATTTAGTGCAAATTTCCAATATATCAACTACGTAATCTTGTAAGCAAAAGTAAAAAATTATAAAAATATCGAATTTGACTTCCTTTTATTTCATCAGTAACAACATATTAAAATTTTAAAAGCATTGGTCCAGTGGTTCATAAGTAAATGCATAGACATCAAAGTGCCATTTTTTCAATAGATCGTCGACCATAACTCCTGAACAGATGATAAAACTGAAAATTGTCAATATTGAACTTGACCTCCATTTTGTCATCAGTAACAACATATTATAATTATAAACCATTGGTAGAAGGGTTCATAAATTATTGAATGGAAACGATATAAAACGGCATTTTCCAATATATCAAGGATCATAACTCATGAAGAGTAAAAATGAAAATAGTCTTATCGAACTTGATCTCCATTTTTTTACTTTTAAAAACCCAGTTAAAAGTGAAGAAAAGACAAAAAATCCACAAAATACTACTTAGAAAACTAAAGATTTAGCAACACCAACTCCACCAAAAACCCAGGGGAGACAATCTTGTAACTATGAATCAATCATATATCATTGTGAGAATTAAGTGCTTACCAACTGAACAAAGTGAGTGAAGTCAGTTTTAATGTGTTTCCACTCTACTCTGCTCATCAGTTTTGCAACTTAACTTAAAGTTTTAGATTTTGTGCTTGTTTGGCAATATATCAATAAGGAGATGTGGTATGATTGCCAATAGGACAACTATCCATCAGAGTTCAAATGCTTTCTTTTCCTGTAATGAAGCACTTTTCTGTCAATTCAAATTTTGATTCTACACAATTTGGGACTCAACAAAGATTACATTAAGAAGAAATTAAAAATGTTTCTAGATTTAGGCAGGTAGAATATTGTTGAACATGAATAAAAGAAGATATGTGGTATATCCTAAATAGACAGCAACCCAGTGACATAAACAACCAAAAGACATCTGGAGGTCAACATACAATATGTCAATCTCTGAATTAAATATGAAAATTTTGCTTAGTTTACATGTATTAGTTGGTGATTAGGTCAGTTCAAGGGGAACCATTAGTGGTAGGCCAATGTTAATTGGTATTCAGTTGTATAAGCATTAACACATCTCATTTCCATGGAGAATATTTGGCCCCGTCCCCTCAGTCATGGTCTATTGACTTTGAAACATTTGCTTAGTTTATATGTATTAGTTTGTGATTAGATCAGTTTAAGATGAACTGCTAATGTTAAGTCAATGATATTTGGTATGCAAATTTATTGGCATTTGCAAGTATTATTTCCATGGAGATTATAAAGCCCCACCCCCTCATCATGGTTCATTGACTTTGAAACTTTTACATAGTTTACAAGTTAATGCTTATGATAAGTCAATGGTATTTGGTATGCAGTCGTATTAACATTGACACATCTCATTTCCATGGAGATTGTTCAGCCATGTACCTTCAGTCATGGTTCATCGACTTTGAATATTTGCATAATTTACATGTTAAAGTATTGCTATTTTAATTTCAACATTTGCATTATCAAAATTACAAAAAGGCGAAACATATCTCTGTGATAACAGTTTATTTGTCCATTCATTTGAAAGGGTTTCATTGCTGATAATTTCAAGATCAAAGGTCATTACAGTGTCATACAGCATATTTTGATTTTATTGTTCTCCTAGCAAACAATCCAACCTAAATTCTTTGTTTTCTGATTTGTTGGTGTTTAACACCACTTACAGCAACCTTATCTATATAGTTGAGGACACAAATTGGACAAGGTTTTACTATCATAGGGGTCAAAGTCAAAGTGACTTGACTTTGGTATATGATAAACCCCCAGCCAATAATGCAACTGCATACCAAGTTTTGTTAACATAAGTTTTACTGTACAAAAGTTATGAGTCCGACACAAATTGGACAAGGTTTTACTATCATAAGGGTCAAAGTCAAGGTCAGAGTGAACTGACTTGGATATACAACACAGCCCAAGTCCATGATGTTTCTGCATACCAAGTTTGACCAAGTTTCCCAAGTTCAATGGATCAAAAGTTATGCACCTGACAGGAAGCTTCAGACAGACAGACAGACAGACAGACAAATAGATTCCTATGTACCCCAAAACTTTGTTTGCAGGGGGTATACAAATAGTTTACGTCTCTTGGACATGCATGGTGTCTAATGGATTTGTATGTTGTGCAATCATTATCTATTATGGAGTTTTCTTGAATTTTTGTAAACACATTAAGAACTTTCTAGATTATCCAGAAGGTGAAATTAAATTTTCAACATCATTCCTAATAAAGGATACCTTTTATGTGTACCCACAAGGACTTGTTCAACAAAGTATATATTTTCTATATAGGATTGTATGGATACTTTGGCAAAACCATGAATTCAAATATAAATGAATATACAATATTTCCTCAATCTACGAAAATTGATATCTGTGAAAATAAATGAATCCACAGTAGTTAAATATTCACTGCATCATGTAGAAATATTAAAGGCACTGGCCTTGTTTTAAAGACTACATGTATGTTGACCTCTGGATGTATTAAGATTTTTTTTTGTTGGATTGCTGTCTGATTAATGTATACCTCATTTCTCCTTTTATTCACAGATTTTAACATAGAGGTTTTTGCTCATTGCTGAGGACAGTACAGTGACATATAGTTGTTTAAATCCATTTGGTCTCTGGTGGATAGTTATCTCATTGGCAATCATACCACATCTCATTATTTATATATTACATGATTTAAAACCCTGCTAAATATTGCATAATGTATTTTATAGGTGCCATTTATGTTGTTACTACCACTGGGTCGATGCCTCTGCTAGTGGACTGATAGTCCCTAATGGTATCACCAGCCCAGTAGCCAATACTTCAGTACTGGCATGAAAATACGGTTATTAATAATTGCTGTTACAAAACTTTGGAAATTATTTTAAATTAAGGAATATATCTCCCTCGTGCAAAGCTCTGATTCCTTGCCCGGCTTTGGCTATACTATTTTGTCTATTTTGGTTTATAGCTCCTCCTCTTTTTAATAAGGTTTGGATTTTCAAATATTTTGGCCTCTAGCATCACTGAAGAAACATTAATTATCAAAATGTGCATCTGGTGCAGAAAAATTGCTGCCATTTATGTTATTATACTGGTTTAAAGAAGATCAATAAGAAAATATTAGAAAAATTTAATTTCTCTAGACCAATCATGTTTATAAACAGAACATAATTTATGTAATTCTAAATAATGAAGTGTATAAATTGACTTAAGTAAAAAAAAAAACAATAATCACAACCTTTGATTAACAGTTACCATGGGAATGAATATAAATGGATTTCTGTCAAAAAATAAATTATATATGTTCATGACCTGTGCTAAAAAATACATATATTTGCCATTATAGTCTTGAAAAATATGTTTTGCTTAATTTTTTCTAAGTATAATCAAAACAATAATTGTAAATTCCTGTTTATCAAATTTTGATCCATTTACTATGAATTACAGGATTTTTTTTTTAAATAAAAAAATCTAGGCTTTACAGTGAACCTGTTTGTTTAATATAAAGTTATCTGACATATCAAAAGTTAGCTTATCATCAATTGCAAATAAAATTAATTATCACAAAATTATCTAGAAATTTACTTCTAATAAACTTAATAGCAATAAAGTTAAAAATGCTGATAGTGATTGTGCATAATTTACATAAAACTGCAAGCATAAGCAGATTGACAAAAACAAAAAGCACTTTAGGAGTGCTAACATTGTAATATTAGTGGATACACCATGTCATATGAGAAATAATTTGTAGCAACATTATTTTAAGTAATTATTACAGAAGTAACAAAACTCAAGAGCTCATAACTTCTTGCGTTTTTTATTTCCATGCAAAAGTTACATGTATATACTATCCACTTTCTGGTATTACAAAACTTCGTTATTATAAGGGTAGAAATGTAAAAAGCAGCTCGATATTTTCAAATTTTGAAATCTTTTCTTAAACAAAGATTATCAGCCCAAAATAAAACTATACTACTTTTTATTGGGAGATGACTCTGAGCAGAGAAGGGTAGCAGTTCTAAAATAATTTCTCCAGACAGGAACATCCAACAATATATATACATGTAATAAGGTCATGACAAATTGGTTCAGTATATTTACAATCACAATACAAAAGACATAAACATCTAAATAAAATCTGCACCAATGGTTTTAATATATAATGTATAATGAATTAATGATGTACAGTATATGATATAAAAAATCTATTTTTTCTATTCAAGTATTTCAATCACAATAATTAAAGTGACAATAATTTCCATTTTTGATGTATTTACTTCAGTCAATCAGGTACTGTAAATTCAAAAATTGTTGTGATGTTTTTATCTTTGTGAACAGATGGGTTTTGCAAATAAAGAAAAACAAATGCATTTATATTTTGATAGAATTATTTGTACGCAGCATTTCCTGAATTCCCAATAATAAATCTCTCATTTTTATCCATCGTTCAACCATGGCAATAATAAATGTACACAAAAATTTCTGAATTTACAGTATTCAAGAAAATGCTCGATGCGCCTCTCAATGAAAAAGAAATTTTTTATACAGGAATTACAAGAACATGTGATATACACCAGAAATCCATGGTAAACAAAATTTTTGTTAAAAAGTTGTCTTACACATTCTGTTTATTTTGAGAATGAATATTTATGTTTCAGAGTCTAAAGGACTATGGATAATTTAATTGTTTGTACACCAAATGAATATAGTGTCACGTCATTGGTCGAATTTCCATGGTTAAGGACCTTGTTAGACAATCAACATTTTGGTGTACGTTTTTGAAAATTATACCCAGAATGCATTAGATTCTGAATGTTGAATTAACAAAACATTATCTATTAGTCAATAAGGACTATAAAATGACAAGTATAAATACAACCTTTATCACTTCAATAATATATAAATTACATTTCTTGATTGGTATTATCTCCTTTTAATAATAATTAGTACAGCATTAATAATTATCCAAATTATGTAAGAATATTTTTAAAGGATATTCTTTAAAATTGGATTTCCAATAATGTCAGAGACATTACCATGTACATATATATCAATCCTGGTAAAAAATCTATTTAGTACCATATATCAAATGGGATCTAATTCTTTTATTCTACACACCATCTCCACCAAAAATACTGGTAATAAAGTATTATATGATATGTTTACATTTAAATGAATTATTTACAAATTGTCTCATAGCAACTAAAATTAGTATCTACAACAAATGAATAATGGAATGATTGGTAGAATGAAAATACCAGTGAAATCTTTCTTTTATTCAAGCTAATAATATGTATAAATTTAATCAAAAGAAAGTACATGCCTAATTTTATCTTTATATTCTTATGACATTATATAAAAACATTGGAATATAATTTCCTTTCAAAAAAAGGAAAATTAAAATAAAGATTTTTTTTAATACTTGTATAAAAAAGAGATTTCACTGGACCAACAGTACCAACAACAATATGTATTTGATACATTTCATACTTTAAAAAAATCATTCATACAAAAATGGTTAAAAAATATGAGATTCATTTCATACTGAAAATACCTGAAAAAAACGTGAAAAAAAAGAAATGTGTATGGATTAACATTATAACCTCCTTGATCGTATGATAACATGGTGATTTTTCATTTTTTTTAATAAATACTTTAAGCTCTAATATATTACATGCATGTGATTTGTTAAAAATATCAATGGCTCTAAAATAAAATTTCAAGAGACGATGTCTTTGGAATGTTAGTTTCATTATGGAATAATGAGCAACAAGAGACATTTAGTTATGGAGCACTTGTTAATTATTTGGAGTCACATGTAACCCAATTAGATTTAAAACTTATAAAACTACACACAATATATAATGAAATTAATTAATAACCTTTTTTTTATTTAATTTAGTAAAAAAAAATAACATTTCAAACATATTTATACGGTTGAACATTAGCTCTTGGAAATTCTACTAAAGTCATATTAAAATTGAAACTAATTACAATATATTTAAATTTCATGTTTACTTTCCCCAAAATATATATATCACAAAATATGTCATGTAAAGACTTTTCAGTCATTTGATTTTCTCCACACTGAATGTATATTTGCATCTAATTTGCATAATCCTTGATGCAGCTGCCACTGATTTGATCATGTGCACATTGCATGAATATTCATATGCATGAGTTCTACTCTAGCAAGCTTGGCACATTCATTCTTTGCACTTTTTAAATCTAATCTGAATCTTCATATTTATTGTACATGTCAGCTAGCTTGGCAAACTTAGGCCCCCATTCATTTAGATAGTCATAGTCTTGGTCACCTCCTGACGTGGAGGTATTCAGAGAACTCAGGGAACCAGCATCACTACCGCCTCCCTCGTAATCAAATCCTTTCATTGTATCATATGGTGGGGCACCTGAATCATCGTCAGCATCATCCAGTCTGTCCCCGATAAAATCACCAATACCTGGTCCTCCTTGTTGTGGTGGGGCTGAAAAGAATAAAAGCAAATCCAAATAACTATTATAAACTACTCCAAAATTAAAATTGCCAGGCAGGGATGTGAATTATAAGAGTACTGCAAGAAAGAAATCAGAGAAAAACTTGATTTCTCAATGTTTGTTTACATTTTTCCATGTTTGTAACCTTTGATTTTGTAGAAGGTGCCCTTATTTCTTTTCAATTACTCTAACAATTTACCTAAAGGCTAATTGACATTAACATGCAATTTTAATTTAAAAATTCAGTATTTCCTGATAAATATCATAATATAATGCTTGATTAGAAATTTGTCTTTACTTTTCATAGCATTGCATAACAATGTGTATAATCTACAAAACGTATAGGTTATTCGTTCAGTTTTGATGTTTCAAACTGTTGCAGGTATTTAAGCTAAAGGTTTTTATCACAATATTAAAGTGATGAATAAATTTAACAGTATTTTACTAAAAGATAAGGTTTTTCTCTCAGAGTCATAGTTTTTTGTAATATCTATGAAGAACAGATTTTTACTCATATGGGGTATTATCATACAGACAGTTATGCCTGTTAAGGCAGGTTTGATTAATCATGGATTTTATTTAAATGTACTTTTACATGTACTTTTACATGTACTTACCACTTTTGCCTAGATGATTTACATTAACAGGCTTATCAAAATGAGAATGATCTGGCAACCTGCCAATTCCTTGTATATGGCCATCATAATCGTCTTCACCTGGAAAAGTATGATAAAAAAATGTCATGAGGTCAATTTCAGCAACATTTTTTTTAACTATATTTTTAGATTCAAAAAGGCTTTTTCAAAAATTTGTTTTGAACAATTTTTCTTCTGACAGAATTAGTTTAATAAAACAGTCATTTAAAATTACCTGCTCCTTCCTCATCATAATCCATCACATTTTCCCTCACTTCGTAATCTTCCTTTTCGTCATCCTCAATCAGTCCTTCATCGGTGTTCCTACACTTCCACCAAAGAAGGGCAGCAATGATCACTGTTATAATGAAAAATAATTACAAATAATAATAAAAAATAGAAATAAAGTGTTTCAAAACATGATAGAAACCAGAAAAAGTCCTAACATGGATGATTCTTTTACTTGCTTAACTAAAGCAATTTTTAAATCTGATTAGATTAAAGGAAGAATTCTATAAACTAATGTAAGAAGCTATATGACCAAATAGGGCCTTCAAAGAATAGCCAAATTCATCTATGGTCAACTCTGATAGAATCACAGACTACTGAGATGATGATACCTTCATGGAATAACAGTCCAACCGGCAGTGGTATCAACCAAACTAGAGGCTCTCAAGAGCCTGTGTCGCTCACCTGTATTTACTGATGCTTTGGAAATCATGTAAAATAAGGTTAAAATCATAATTAATAGTATTAGATATTAGATATTATAATGGTATCTAAGATAATAACAAAAAACTGCAAAATTTTTGTAAAATTACTAACTCAGGGTCAGCAGCCCAACAACGGGTTGTCGGAATTTGTCTGAAAATTTCAGGGCAGATAAATCTAAATCTGATGAACATTTTTGCCACCTTGTCAGATTTGCTCTAAATGCTATAGTTTCAGAGATATAAACCAAAAACTGCATTTTACCACTATGTTCTATTTTTAGCCATGGGGGCCATCTTGGTTGGTTGGCGGGGTCATCGGACTAATTTTTTTAAACTAGATACCCTAATAATGATTATGGCCAAGTATGGTTAAATTTGTATCAGTAGTTTCAGAGAAGAAGATTTTTGTAAAAGATTACAAAAATTTACGAAAAATTGTTAAAAATTGATTATTAAGGGCAATAACTCCTAAAGGGGTCGACTGACAATTTTGGTCTTGACAACTTATTTGTAGATCTTACTTTGCTGAACATTATTGCTGTTTACAGTTTATCTCTATCTATAATAATATTCAAGATAATAACCAAAAACTGCAAAATTTCCTTAAAATTACCAATTCAGGGGCAGCAACCCAACAACAGGTTGTCAGATTTGTCTGAAAATTTCAGGGCAGATAGATCTTGACCTGATAATCAGTTTTACCCTATGTCAGATTTCCTCTAAATGCTTTGGTTTCAGAGATATAAGCCAAAATCTACATTTTACCCCTATGTTCTATTTTTAGCCATAGCGGCCATCTTGGTTGGTTGGCGGGGTCATCGGACACATTTTTTAAACTAGATACCCTAATGATGATTGTGGCCAAGTTTGGTTAAATTTGGCCCAGTGGTTTCAGAGGAGAAGATTTTTGTAAAAAGCTAACGACGACGACGACACCGACGGACGCCAAGTGATGAGAAAAGCTCACTTGACCCTTCGGGTCAGGTGAGCTAAAAATGCAAGTGCTATAGTAAATAAAAATAACATCCATATATATTTTTTGTGCTTCTGAAGTGCTTTTCTGGAATTACACTTGTCAACTGATGCTGGACTTCATATTGTGTAAAAAATGTATGTTTTCTGTTTAAACATTTCCTTTCAGAATCCTGAACCTGCATGCATGAAAACTGATAAACAGAAATACACAAGGTTCTAAAATGAACTTTTTTCATCTTTTTTTTTACTTTAAATCCTCTGAGTGAATCATCCTGATATCTCACAGATTGCTTAGAGCCTCATAAAAAAGACATCAAATGTTAAATTATCCTCTCCATGTATATACTTACAAATCAACAGAATAACTAAAATTGGTGCCACTATCCACGCCCCAACGCCAGCAGAATCTGTATCTACTATCGCCAGTTTGTAACAAGTCCTTCCCTCCCATCCAGAATGACAGTTACAAACATATCCATATTCATTAGTAGGATCGTTGACACATTCAGCATCAGGATGACAGGGTGTGTTGATTCCACAGTAGTCATAGGGCACACAGGTACTGCCTTGTTTAATGTAGTGAAGAGCACAACTACAAAGACAAAAGTATGATTAAAACCTTTACATCATGCACAGTGGTCCTACCTTGGATTCTTTATTAGTCCTTGGGTACCAAATTTTGTGGATTACGTGGAAATTAGCAAATTTCAAATGTTTAACAAAGTACTAATTTTCAATAAGCTTTTATGTTGACATTGAAAAAACAATGCAATAAAAAATCCACAAAAATAAATTTTTTCCTCAATCCAGGAAAATTACCACCCACCAAAAAGTGAATACAAATTTGAGTCAATCTAGCATAAAATATATGTCACAGATACCAATTCATGTCAATCCAGCAAAAATAATTAGCTACATGGCTTATATTCATTTTGAAAGGCTTAATGTTGCCATCCTTTACCTAACAAATCAACTACTATATCAATCTTTGTCTCAAGTTTTTGTTAACGGTTACTTACACACATTCATACTTCTCCCACAATGGACGACAGACAAATGGTGGTCGGCATGGAGAATTCTCACAGTCCTTCCGTACACAGTTATCAGTAACTTCTTTCTCATTCACCAGTTTAATGTTTACATTTTGTTGACTTTCACCTGCTGTCATTGGAAACCAGCTATTGGCCAATCTAATATCATTCAAACAAGCTGTAAAAAATAATCAGAAGTTAAAAGAAACCTGCATAAACTAAACCTTGCATAATCAACAGGTATGTCCCAGGACTATTCCATTAAAATGCATGTGGGAGGGAAGAATGTGGTTTTATTTTTGGAGATGGGTCATGGGTCATTTATGGTTGTGTGTCCATGTATGCAAAATAGCTTGCAGAAGTATAATGCTTTTAAGGGGATTTTTAGAAGTTATTTCTTGTCAACCCACATTCATTTCAATGGAATAGCCTTTTCAAACCAAACTTTTTTATGAGAAAAAAATGAATTTTGTTAAGCAAGTCAATTTGTTCGTATGATTCCCAAAAAATCAGGAATGAACTGAAATATGGAAACATAAAGCTATGAAGTGGATTGTATTTTTTGCTTGCAACATGAAAATGACGGATTGATTGATCGATGTTTGCTTTATATCAGTGGTATATAAAAATCAAAATGAAAATTATGTTTATTACAAAAAGCACTGTGATGAAAGTTACTTGGCAGATATTATTCCATTGAGGATAAATTTAGAAATTGTTTTTATAATATACTTAAGGAGTTACTGTATTTGGCCATGTATAAATACGGATTCTAATATGACGTGCTTCTTTCGCTTTGTAAACACCGTGATAAAATTCTCGATATATCTATACTTAGCGCAGACTCAGAGATGTGCATATTGGTGGCTGTTACTATTTACCTCCCACGTAAATCCACATGTATCGTAACCTATGTGCAAACACTATGTCGATTGCTTTAAGTTCAAATTGAAATTGAAAAAGAAACTACAGAACCGTTATTCCTATTATAATGCATAACAAAAAGAATTAATTCACAAGAGCTTAAAAAATGTATAAAATCAAAGTAAAATAAAATTCCACGAAATTTCATGAATAATCTTCGCGCATTAACATCATGTCATAACATGACGTCATACGAATGAAAACTCTCAAGCTGATGGTTTTCCGTTACGTATACGCCCTAAATTTGTATAATATTGCATTAAAATGGAGTTTTGAGGTATGTGTTGATTCATTTTCTATTCCATTGCATTATTTGCACATTTGTGGATTTAAGCAAGTCAACATGGCGGCTCACTCCTTAGTTACGACATGTCAACTCTGGATTAGACAGTAAATAGTAGCCAACGAAAAATAAATGTTTGGGTTAAGAATTATGAGAATTGAACACATTTTTTTCTAGTGCTTATTTAAGAAATAATTCATGTGAGACTTAGATTTATTTGAAATTTGTAGCTTTTACCTTACAGGGGGCAAAATAGAACAGCCATACACACAGCAATCTTACCTTCGCTTCAGTTTTCAAATAACTGTATTTGTCCTATTAGAATCGAAATAATTCATGGAAGCCATAGATTTGTTGGACATTTACACATGGCCTGGGCCGTGATATTCGTTAATTTTATCCCTCGCTAACGCTCTGGATAAAATTCGAATATCACGGCCCAGGCCATGTGTAAATGTCCAACAAATCTATGGCTTCCATGAATTATTTCTTAATTTGAGTATAATGCACACCACTTTTCATCCCCCAAAAAAGTATAGTTCACTGTAAAAACCTTTCATAGGGAACTTATAAACCCTGTATTTAAATTTTATTTAAATCTAAATAAAACCATTCTGTTGATAGCAACTACTTACTACTGTTAAGATCTTTTTCATTAGAAATGGTGATCGTGTTGTGGGTATAAGTTAAGGCTGCTCCAGCATAAATTTGGTCATTTTTTATAGGCATCAAATGATGTCCATAATCTGGCCCTTGTGTTTCTGAGTATCGAGGCCCTTCTCCATTATCCATGGCCAGAGCCAAGAATTTTCCTCGCCTTTTTATAATAACTTTGTGCCATTGTCCATCACTTGCCATTACTCTGTCGAGACTTACTACATGATTCCCATCGCCCAAATTATATAACACCTGCAGATGATTGCCTACAATCTGAAATAATAAACAAAAATCAAAAGTCAGACAATTGTTGTGATTTGAATGTATCAAGGATAAGTTTTGTCACCAAAATTATATAACACTGGCAAACAATAGACCTTATCTGTGACACTTGACCAGAGATTTTGTGACACTTGAATCATTGATGTCATAAAACAATCATTTTCCATTGTTGCATCAGAAATTCTCTTTTGACGCCAAAATTTTACAGGAAAAACTATATTGGCCAGTAATGGCGGACAAATAGCAATAAGGTGTATTGCCATGTATGCAGAAGGCATTTAATGCATTGAACAAGCCCATGAAACACCAATAATGAAAACAAAACAGATTTAACAGCCCTTTCTAATGGCCAAACCATGAAAAACCTGTCATGAAAATTACTCAATAAACAGTATTAAATTTGATTTATATTACCCAAGATCATTTGCGTGGATAAATTAACAGTCATCATAATTCAATTTATGAAATTTTGTTCTGAGTTTATGAAATTCGCATGCATGTATGATCATATTAGTAAGTATATAAATTTGGGGTTAAGTGAGCTAGTCTTTTATCTATGTATTAAATATCTGAAAAAAAAATTGAATTATGCGAAATAAGGGGGTTATTTTTGCTTACTGTGGATTCTTTATCATTCTTGGGACTAAAAAATCAGCCTTCTGGCGAACTGTAATATACCAATTTTTCATGGATTTCTTCGGTAAACATAACCACGAATTCTAATGTTCAACGAAGTATACATTTGTAATAGGCTGGTATACCTTTTTCGAACATAATTAAGAAGGAGTTCAATACACCATTTTTATCAAAATAACAATAAGTTTATTCGCTGAACCATACAACAATCCATGAACATGATAAAAAGCAAGACATGAGCGGGTGTGTGTGTGTTCTATAGGTATACAAATATTTAGAACAGACATAATTGATCATACCTCAAGCCTAACAAATTCATTGGTGGATGTGGAAGAGACATGGAAGATAACTCCGTCAGTGTCCCTTGTTCTGTACATCACATGGACATCTGTATCCCATTGAGATAACAAATTCTGGAAAGTTAACTGTAAGGTCCAGTCCATATAGCTTTGAGTTCTGACTAAATCTTTTATAGAGGTTTCTGTTAATACAAATGTTTATGTAATAAATATATTAAATAGCCCTTTTTGTTATGAAATAAACTGTCTTTCAAGTTGTTACAAGTGAAATATATTTCATGTTAACAAAAAAATAAAAAAAATGGAGGGCAATTTAACCTTTCCCTTCACATTCTGAACTATCTGTAATTTGTGAGAATCTTTTACCCTACAAAATGGATCACCAACACAAATAGTGGAAATGTGGAAAATGGGAAACAACTCCATAGAGGGAGATGCATAACCTCATAGGTGTGCAAGCTTTTCTGTGAAGTTTCTATGATGTAAATTGAAAAGTGTAGGAGGAATTATCAATTACACAATCTAATATGATTTTTCGAAATTTTACTGGAAAAATTGGAGAAAATTCCTCAAAGAATTCTATATAGCAGGTGCACAATTTTGATATGTGTGAAATTGTTCTGTGAAAATTAATCTTCAAGAGGTAGAAAAGTACTTACGAATATCACATGTATCCCCTCTCCATCCACTATGACATATACAGATAGTTGCACTAGTAGCCAAATTAGTGATCTGACAGTCCCCGTTATCACCACATTTCTTGGGTAGGTTTACACTGTTCTTTTGACAGGCATCATCTTCCTTTGGACAACCATCAAAACTTCCTGGGTAGGTACCAGAACCAGTATACAGGTCATATAACTAGAAAAAAAAATATTTCTTATTGTTTATGAGGGCTATTCTGCTAACATATAGTATCTATTGTAAACAATATGAAAGTATGAAAATGGGCAAATACATGGGTAAGGCAAAAAATAAATATTTATGTGTTGAGGGTTTCCTTCCTAAAATATATTTGGCATGAAGTCTTCATTTTTTGGGGGGATCATGTTTTTATCAAGACGGGGTTCCAGCATTATAAATATTGTTTTTTTAGAAGTTTGCCATTTGTAAATAGTCAAAGAACAAAGTGACAGTGTTAACAAGGTTTTGATCAATTTTGTCACAGATTTTAATTCCAATAGTAACTGATATGTTGTTAAAATATTTTGGAAGAACCTAATAAAAACTTTAAGGTTGGTGCTAAATATTAGAGTCTGCCAGGAAACACTTGTAACATGTAAATTAGTTACAGATAGAGGTGAACTAGTAAACTCCTCCTTTTGGAGAGGGGAATAAAATACAAAAGAAACAGGGCTAAATATAGTAAACTCACTTCGTTGTTGTGTCGTAAATTTCTAACACATCCATTGAACTTGTTATTAGTAATTCCTGCTGGTAGGTTTGGTTGTGACTGTCTGCCACCTAACTGTAATGGAGCATTCACATTCAGGAACATGTTTTCACCAGGCGTTGACATAGTAACCTCACATATTGATCTATCATCCACAATTCCATCAGTAGTTGGGGCAATGTCTTTACAATAATCAACTGTCAGGGTAATCAACTAAAATAAAATAAATCACTTTTTATTATGCTCCATTTTTCTTGAAGGTTTATAGTTTCTGTTTGGTGTTTCCATGTATTTGACACCTTTGTACATAGTACATGGACCTGGGTAACCAATATCAGTCACACATGTTCTGAAGCAAGATATGATATTGATTGAGGGTAAATACAGCATTTGAAATTAAACTTTATCATACATAAAAAAATGGCAAAAATTTGTTTAAAAAAAAACCAGATATGTCAAGAAAGCTTTGTAGGTTTTAGTTCTGAATTCTTATTCAAAATATTTTTTCTAATGGAGCTAATTATGTTATGAATGTAAAAAATTACCTTTCCTTTTCTCCTGATATTTATATGATGCCATTTACCATCACTTAGTTTACTTCCTCCATTCAGGGAGGGACTATTTATAGACAGTGTCTGTGCTCCTGATCCTTGGTCTATTTTTAGAATTGGGTATCCCCCTGCCAACTCCAAGGACATATAATCTTGAGGTTGAAAGTTATCTGACACAGGGCCATTATACATAATTAGCCCGTTGTCACTTGAAGTAATAAACTCTATACTAGTTTCAGAGTTTTCACATTGTTCCAAAGGTTTATACAAGGCATAACCAGTTCCGTCAAAACCATGACGTGTAGACTGGCATCTTGGTCCATCAAATCCTGCTGAACATTCACAACTGTAAGAAAAAATAACCTTTATAATGGAGTTTCAATGTTTTCTTAATTATTTTCTTTCTCATTTTTTTTTACTTAATAATAGTTGCTGTGGACTAATTTTTATATAAAGGACAATAATTACAAGTTTTGAACTGAGTCATTTATCATGTTTTAGTAATTTAATTAGCGATTAAAATTGAGAATGGAAATGGGGAATGTGTCAAAGAGACAACAACCCGACCATAGAACAGACAACAGCAGAAGGTCACCAACAGGTCTTCAATGCAGCGAGAAATTCCCGCACCCGGAGGCGTCCTTCAGCTGGCCCCTAAACAAATATATGTACTAGTTCAGTGATAATGAACGCCATACTACATTGTAAATTTTGTGGGTCCAAAGCACTTTTTTGTATTAAGCTACATCAGAAACCATAGAACAAAAGTAACATTGCCTTGAAATACAAGAGTGCACACGCTGAAATGTCTCGCCTTCTTTACTAATCATTGATATTATGTTGATAGTCCTAAATATAAAGCTTTATTACAACTGTCACATAAACTTCACATTAACCAAGTAAACTAAACATTGACCAATGAACCATGAAAATGAGGTCAAGGTCAGATGAACCATGCTAGGCAGGCATGTACAGCTAACAATTCTTCCATACAACAAATATAGTTGACCTATTGCTTATAGTTTAAGAAAAACAGACGAAAACACAAAAACTTAACACTGAGCAATGAACCTTGAAAATGAGGTCAAGGTCAAATAAAATCTGCGTGACTGACATATAGATCATAAAATATTTCCATACACCAAATATAGTTGAACTATTGCATATAGTATTAGAAAAAAAGACCAAAACTCAAAAACTTAACTTTGACCACTGAACCATGAAAATGAGGTCAAGGTAAGATGACACCTGCCAGCTAGACATGTACACCTTACAATCATTCCATACACCAAATATAGCTGACCTATTGCATGCAGTATTAGAAAAAAAGACCAAAACTCAAAAACTTAACTTTGACCACTGAACCATGAAAATGAGGTCAAGGTCAGATGACACCTGCCAGCTAGACATGTACACCTTACAATCATTCCATACACCTAATATAGTAGACCTATTGCATACAGAATAAGAAAAACAGACCAAAACACAAAAACTTAACTATAACCACTGAACCATGAAAATGAGGTCAAGGTCAGATGACACCTGCCAGTTGGACATGTACACCTTACAGTCCTTCCATACACCGAATATACTAGACCTATTGCTTATAGTATCTGAGATATGGACTTGACCACGAAAACTTAACCTTGTTCACTGATCCATGAAATGAGGTCGAGGTCAAGTGAAAACTGTCTGACGGGCATGAGGACCTTGCAAGGTATGCATATACCAAATATAGTTATCCTATTACTTATAATAAGAGAAAATTTAACATTACAAAAAATCTGAACTTTTTTTTCAAGTAGTCACTGAACCATGAAAATGAGGTCAAGGACATTGGACATGTGACTGACGGAAACTTCGTAACATGAGGCATCCATATACAAAGTATGAAGCATCCAGGTCTTCCATCTTCTAAAATATAAAGCTTTTAAGAAGTTAGCTAACGCCGCCGCCGCCGCCGGATCGCTATCCCTATGTCGAGCTTTCTGCGACAAAAGTCGCAGGCTCGACAATAAAACTATAAAATATCTATAGATATACTTGAGATTTGAGACAGCAAACCTATGTAAGTCAACATGTCCTGTCTAAATACATTTAAGCCCTCATTTTGTTTTACTCATGTGTTTAAAAAAAAACATTTTCCTTTAAAAATGTGAAATATGATAAAAAAAAATTATAAAAGATTCCAACAAGTGATATTTTATGTCAGAGATCTGATAGTCATAAGTAAATCTTCATCTCTCCTCATACTTCAAAACATTCCAGTAATCTTTCTTGCATGTTCCTCCATTATAACAATAAGTAGGGTCACACTCCGTCTGACTGACTGGTTCATGACATCCACACTTCCCTTGGACAAATGTCTCAACTCCAACAATGGCGTTCCCCCTGACGTTCACCAAGTTTGCCTTGCCTGTCACGTTAAGGAAGTTATAACAACCAGATTCACAAGTTTCCTTTAAACATTCGTCGATGTTGATCATTTCAATGGTAGCACCTGCATCTTGCGCAAACTGTAACACAAATTTAATTAAAATATAAACTTTATTGTTTACAGTAAATCTTAGAAATAACTTGAATCAACTTAATAAATAATGAAAAAAGTTAGGGGTACTGGACTTTCATTATCTGAGGATAATTTTCTAAGCATTATATAAGAATTTCTAAATGAGATTGTGCTCCCATGTTTGATCTGTTCTTTTACACACTATTTCTAAAAAATGCTCCTGCTCTTGCTAGTACAATATGCATATTTCTACATCTTGCAGCTACATCTCTCAAATCTATAGTTATTTTGTCAATCATGATATCACGGAGCCTTTCTTATCCCCAAGTTTTTATTTGCAGTTAGAAAGATGACAGCAGGAAAAAGTGGAGCAGAAACTGTTCCCCCTTCAAATGGTTTTTGGCGGGGTTTTAAGTTGCTCAATCTTTAGTTTTTTGGTGGACTAGTGTTTAACCTTTCTTCATTTTTCTTTTGACAATGATGTAGTCTGTTGTTCTTCGACTTAGGTTTTTGATTGCACCTTGGGTACCCCCCCCCCCCCCCCCCCTCTCATACAATAAACTGTATTACTTTACAAATGAATATCCCTCAGTAAAAATTTTGACACAATAGCAGCCTGCATTGATTACCAGTTGACACTTCAATCAGTTTATTACTCTACTTTTTATCATTTTATAACTTATTCGTTTTTACATTTATTACCAAATTACTTTATATATAACTGGTTCCATTTTATTATTTCTAACCAATTCACTTGTTTGCAAGTTATTTCAATTTGTATCTTAGTACATTACTTTTAAAAACTTACTTCATTTTTGTTTCTGAGTACAGCTCCATTCATTTTAGTGTTTGAGTAGTATGGTGAGCCGTGAGCAGAGAACCTGACGTCTGTGAAATCGTCTTTCTTTAAAACACTGATCATCTGTACGTTTTCTTTATCTGCTCCAAGGCTATTAGCAAGACGTGTTCTAAATTTATCGTAAGGTGACTCCCCTTTACTATCTGGTGTAATGAATTTTTCTGGTGTTGTACCTAAAATATTGTTTAATTATAAATTACTTATAATTGTTGTCATTGTTTACCCAACAATCAAGCTTTTTTTGTCCATTATGGTTTAGGTTTTGTATGTATTGGGTATGTTTGATGTTTTATACAATTTACATTAAAGGAATTGAAAAAGCTAAGGAAAATTGAATAATTTGTGTAATTTATAGAAAGTTAATTTCTTAAAACACTAATCAGAAGGATTAATCGAGATGTTTATCAAAATCAGGTTTGGATGTGGAGATGTATTTCAGTCACATCATCAGTAGCAGAATAACAGTAAGGTATGAATATTTGACAACATTAATCAAGGTTTTACCTTCCAAAATATCTTTTTTCCTGCTACAATAAACTACTTAAAAATTACTTAAACTTGTTAAATGATATAAGCTATTATCGCTATTTTGTGCATTTTTCCTTTGATCTTTTTTTGTGATAATTTTTCATACCATGCTACTCTCTTGAGATGGAAAATTATCGTCAGAAACTAAGGGTGCACGTGACGTTGTCAATGTAAACATCAACGACGTCATAGGCAAAATAGCAATAAACAGATTATCAATGGTCTTTCAAAATCGAGGATGTTTCTTGGCCACATCTCATCTCAGGCCTGTCGGCCATCTATGAGATTGTAGCTGAGAAAAACCATTAACAAATTGCAAATTTAGGTCTGACCATCTTACACAATGATAAATGAGGCTTCTTATGCTATTCCCCAAATACAAAGAGGGCAAATCTTCTAACAGTTGCTTTAAAAGGGAAATAAAAATATTGTATTTGAAAATGTCATAACATCAATCTAGGATTTGACAGTCTCTATTAAAACTGTAATGACACTGTTTTACCTCATAAATTGTTCTTCATAATTTTTGATATACAAAACTAGACCATCTTTGAAAGCATATCATGAAAACATACCTGAGAGTCTAACAGATCCTGATTTATATGGTGCTTCCTCTGGCATTTCCTCAATCATTACTGTAACGGAGGATGTCGTAGTTAACCCATCAACTCTGTCCGACACATCCACGTTAAATGTCCATTTGCCAGTTGGTACATTATGAAGCATAGTTATCATTCCAGACTCCCTGTTCACACTTCAATAGAAAAAAATTGGTTCACATATTATTGCAGATATATTTGTCTTCAATAAGTTCAAAGTACATGAACACATCAGATTCAATAAACTGTTTAATCCTGCATCATTTAATTGAACATGTTTTAAGAATGGATTCAGACAATAAAAAGTTATCTGGTAATATCACAATCATTGGTCACACTTAAACTTTATACGGGAATTTAGGCTCTTAACAAGCTGTGACTTTACCATCATTGTTGAAGACCAAGCAGTTTGCTTCTTTTTTTTCTCCTATAAATTTTGAAACAATTCTATAATTTATAACTATCCATGTATATTCTTTCTAGAATGAAGCGCACAATAAATACTTATCAAAACATTGAAATTTGGCTCTGGAAATATAACAGCAAAAGAACGAATTTGTATATTCCAATAAAATGGATGTTGGTGAGAAAGAAGAAATCACTTAGTCGAAGAAAATAGATGTTGGAAGGAAGAAATCACTTATTCCAATAAAATGGATGTTGGAAGGAAGAAATCACTTAGTTCAATAAAATGGATGTTGGAGGAAAGGAAGAAATCACTTATTTTAATAAAAAAAACTTATCATTAAACATAGATAATGGATCATGGATCATTAAGCCTATTCATATTAATACAAAATATTTAAAAAAAGTAGGATTGTTGCAGGGATATTTACGGTCCCTTTCAACCAACCCTCATCCATTTCAAAAGAATAGCCCTTAAATTGGTATAATTACTGTTTCCTTAACTTAATATATGTACCTTTGATAAAATATAAATCTTATCAATGCTATGATTAAAGTCTTACCTGAAAAATTTGGTATATTTATCAGGGCCAACAAAGGTCTTGTCATCAATGTCATGGTCATCTAAATCTGCATAATTTACAGCTCCAATTTCAATATTCTTAAACATTCCTAAAAGATAAGTATGGAATGATCACAATAGGTGTAATATAACAATAGGTTTAAATTAGGTAACACCAAAAAATATATATATATATTAGAAAGGCATATCATACATATGAAAAATAAAGAGAAATTTACATAAATTTGCTGTCAGAATGTTAAACCACTTAATACAAAAGTAAAAGGAAATCAGTCTTTATTAATTTTCAAATAAGGCTCACTCAAAAATATTTGTTTGATATAACTATTAATACATAGCAATTTGACCCTACGTTATAAAATTTCTCAGGACACTTTTTTAAGGGCTATTCCAAAATTGATCACTGTGGGGGATGGGATGCAATAAAATCAATTTATAGTGGGTGGTTGCATTTTCCTTAGAATTTTGTAAGAATTATAAGTAAACTGAGAATTTAATTTTATGGGTGGTTGGGTTCTAGAAAAGTGCCTCCCTCTGTTTAATTCTGAAACAGCTCTAAAGATTTTAAATACTTCCTTGGAAATATGAAATTTAATAATACATTTTCTTTTTTACAAAGCAATAAACAAAATCTAACACCCGATTCCCTGAGGAAAGCAATCTGTACTATAGATATAAATGTACACTTAAAATAAATCTCTAAGGCCAAAAATAGGTCTTCTTTCTTTTGCAATAATGGAGGAATTTATTGATGTGTAAACTGAACGTACTATAAACAAACAGTATAAAGTCTTGTACATGTGTAGGTATTCATACTTGTGACACCATGAAATTGGTATAAACTGGAGTAAACCTTTGGCTGCAATGACGGTCATCAATGAATAAGATTGAATAAGAAAAATTTGAATTATACTGTTGCAGTTAAAAAAGAAACACACTCTTACGGTACAAGGTATGACCATTGGGGCTGCTCAGTTAATAGTTGATTGGTGAATTTTTATTCAGCAAAAACAACACATCAAATTATCAAAACAGTTGCAAATTAAAAATTTCAGGATAGAAATATTAAATTATTTGAAAAGACCAGACCATCAATAAAAACAGAGGTCAGGTCAACGTAATATGAAATGATGATGAATTTATGAGTATGAATATATAAAAGTGTGAATAAAGCAACAAAAAAAAAAACGATTCATATGAGTAAAAAACTAGAGGCTCTAAAGAGCCTGTGTCGCTCACCTTGGTCTATGTGAATATTAAACAAAGGACGCAGATGGATTCATGACAAAATTGTGTTTTGGTGATGGTGATGTGTTTGTACATCTTAATTTACAGAACATTTTTCCTGCTTACAATTATCTCTATCTATAATTAACTTGGCCCAGTAGTTTCAGAGGAGAAGATTTTTGTAAAAGATTACTAAGATTTACGAAAAAATGGTTAAAAATTGACTATAAAGGGCAATAACTCCTAAAGGGGTCAACTGACAATTTCGGTCATGTTGACTTATTTGTAGATCTTACTTTGCCGACATTTATTGTTTTTTACAGTTTATCTCTATCTATAATAATATTCAAGATAATAACCAAAAACAGCAAAATCACCTTAAAATTACCAATTCAGGGGCAGCAACCCAACAACGGGTTGTCCGATTCATCTGAAAATTTCAGGGCAGATAGATCTTGACCTGATAAACAATTTTACTTCATGGCAGATTTGCTTTTAATGCTTTGGTTTTTGAGTTAAAAGCCAAAAACTGAATTTTACCCCTATGTTCTATTTTTAGCCGTGGCGGCCATCTTGGTTGGTTGACCAGGTCACGCCACACATTTTCAAAACTAGATAACCAAATGATGATTGTGGCCAAGTTTGGTTTAATTTGGCCCAGTTGTTTCAGAGGAGAAGATTTTTGTAAAAGATTACTAAGATTTACGAAAAATGGTTAAAAATTGACTATAAAGGGCAATTACTCCTAAAGGGGTCAACTGACCATTTCGGTTATATTGACTTATTTGTAAATCTTACTTTGCTGAACATTATTGCTGTTTACAGTTTATCTCTATCTATAATAATATTCAAGATAATAACCAAAAACAGCAAAATTTCCTTAAAATTACCAATTCAGGGGCAGCAACCCAATAACGGGTTGTCCGATTCATCTGAAAATTTCAGGGCAGATAGATCTTGACCTGATAAACAATTTTACTTCATGTCAGATTTGCTTTAAATGCTTTGGTTTTTGAGTTAAAAGCCAAAAACTGAATTTTACCCCTATGTTCTATTTTTAGCCGTGGCGGCCATCTTGGTTGGTTGACCAGGTCACGCCACACATTTTTAAAACTAGATAACCAAATGATGATTGTGGCCAAGTTTGGTTTAATTTGGCCACGGAGTTTCAGAGGAGAAGATTTTTGTAAAAGATTACTAAGATTTAAGAAAAATTGTTAAAAATTGACTATAAAGGGCAATAACTCCTAAAGGGGTCAACTGACCATTTCAGTCATGTTGACTTATTTGTTAATCTTACTTTGCTGAACATTATTGCTGTCTACAGTTTATCTCTATCTATAATAATATTCAAGATAATAACCAAAAACAGCAAAATTTCCTTAAAATGACCAATTCAGGGGCAGCAACCCAACAACAGGTTGTTCGATTCATCTGAAAATTTCAGGGCAGATAGATCTTGACCTGATAAACAATTTTACTTCATGTCAGATTTGCTCTAAATGCTTTGGTTTTTGAGTTATAAGCCAAAAACTGCATTTTACCCCTATGTTTTATTTTTAGCTGTGGCGGCCATCTTGGTTGGTTGGCCGGGTCACGCCACACATTTTTTAAACTAGATACCCCAATGATGATTGTGGCCAAGTTTGGTTTAATTTGGCCCAGTTGTTTCAGAGGAGAAGATTTTTGTAAAAGATTACTAAGATTTACGAAAAATGGTTAAAAATTGACTATAAAGGGCAATTACTCCTAAAGGGGTCAACTGACCATTTCGGTTATATTGACTTATTTGTAAATCTTACTTTGCTGAACATTATTGCTGTTTACAGTTTATCTCTATCTATAATAATATTCAAGATAATAACCAAAAACAGCAAAATTTCCTTAAAATTACCAATTCAGGGGCAGCAACCCAACAACAGGTTGTTCGATTCATCTGAAAATTTCAGGGCAGATAGATCTTGACCTGATGAACAATTTTACCCCATGTCAGATTTGCTCTTAATGCTTTGGTTTTTGAGTTATAAGCTAAAAACTGCATTTTACCCCTATGTTCTATTTTTAGCCGTGGCGGCCATCTTGGTTGGTTGACCGGGTCACGCCACACATTTTTAAAACTAGATACCCCAATGATGATTGTGGCCAAGTTTGGTTAAATTTGGCCCAGTAGTTTCAGAGGAGAAGATTTTTGTAAAAGTTTACGGACGACGGACGACGGACGATGGACGACGGACGCAGGACGACGGACGACGGACGCAAAGTGATGAGAAAAGCTCACTTGACCTTTCAGGTCAGGTGAGCTAATAATAAAGAAAAAAGGATTTCTCTGGAGTAAAGAATAATAAAGCAAAAATGATTTCACAGGAGTAAAATATAAAATATATCATAAAAACCTGCAAAAACAACAGCTTTAGATTTTACTCCCAAATGACCATACACATCCACTAACCAAGAGTTACTGGGAAATGTTAGTTGACTTAAAATGACAACTTTTCATGAGTGAAAGTATGGGGACCTTCCAGACCATATAAATGTTAGTACACATGCATATGAAAAGTTTGGGATGAGTCAGGTCATGTCATGTCAATGAAATATGAAACGATGATGAATTTATGAGTATGAATTTACGAGTATGAATATATGAAATAATGAATAAAGCAAATATGATTTAACATGAGTGAGAAATAAAAGAATACAAACATTTATTATAAATCATCTTGGACAATCCTTTCATAGATTCTGTATATGATATTTACCTTTGTAATTATACACATGTATATTCTGTGTTCCTGGTCCATGTGGGTTGTCGTTTATGTCCCCTATCTCAATAGTTAGTGTATTGGTACCAGTCTGACTCAGTACATTAGAAACTCCTCGTTTATCCCACATTTTAATGGGAAGGTAATAAAACTTCTTAACCTCTCTATCAAATACTTCTTTTGATTTGATTTGAGCTCCACCATTTCCACCATCCAAACCTGGTATGAGAAAACAATTATTGTGATTAAAAACTGATTTTTTTTCCCAGTTTTGAAAAACAAATATACTTCTAATCCAAAGGATATCCAAAGTTAAATACCCTATAAGCCTTTGACTTCACAAGTGAGGTAAATTCCAAGAAGATTTTTGTAAAAAAAAAAAAAAAAATCAATTTAGGTAAACATAAAGAAAGTGTAATGTGGTCTCTTGTTGATATAAAATATGGACAATTACTAATTCATTCTACATGCAAAGGGACATAACTCTGGTATTTGTCAAAGGACAAGGATGCACTACTAATTTGCACATCTTCATGTCAAAATCTTACTATGTACAAAGTTTCATTAACATCTGATGAAGAATGCAGTTGTTGTTGTTTCTACAAACTGATACTGAAAAAAAAATAAATGGAGAATGTCTATGGGCCACAGATGCCCCCACTTGTTAATATGCATGAGTTAACTTCCACATACAGATGCAGGATTCACGTAGTAAAGACCGTTTTGTGATTTCATAATAAGCATTGTGTATAAGTTTCATAACATTTGGTGGAGGCAAACTAAAGTTATAGAACAGAAAGGACAGATTTAGCAATTTCTCCATTTATAAAGGGGCAGAACTCAAGAATGGTAAAAGTGATACCACCCAATTTCAAACTTGATCTGTGTTTAATGGTAATAAGCATTGTGTATACGTTTCACAACATTTGGTTGAGGCAAACTAAAGTTACAGAAAAATGTCAAAGTTCAGGGGTTGTAACTTTGAAAATCCTTAACAGAGTACTATCCTCCTTACCTGCCATAAAGTTGACATCAAATTTACACTGTGGTTGACTTTGGCTAGTACAAGGTATTCCATCAAATCCAAAAGGAGGTCCATTGTCAGGTAGATCGGGATCTTCACCTAACACAGTCGTTATGAGAGTATTTATTGGTGCATTTTCCATTATTTTAGCATAAGGAACACCTTTGATTTTTGGAAACTCGTCATTAATGTCATTGACACTGACGGTCAATGTTGCAGTACCGGTCAAACTAGGAACACCTACAAAAAAGTTGATACAATTAAAACAATGATTTTTTTCCCTTTCCGACTTCAAACTAATCCTTTATTTTAAGTTTGAAACAAGATTCAAATGTTTTTTTGGTTAGAAACTTTCTCTTGAAAAACAACGTATGTATAATACACCTTATCGCTATTCCCGGCTGACCCGAGAATCCGTCCCGCTTGAACTATTGACGTCATACAACAATCACTTTTCCATTGTGGCGTCAGATATTTTGTATTATGACGTCAAAATTTTACGAGAACCTGTGTGATGTCCAGTAATGGCCGGACAAATAGCGATAAGGTGTATTGTAGAAGACACCATTTTTATAAAAATTATAGCAGAATTTTCTTTCATCTATTACACTTGCGTATATATATAACTATACCTCTTTTTTACAGGTACAGATAAATTTACAAAATATGATGCCACTATTTAAAAGTATTAATGTTTTATTTACATGTTGACCTATTTACCTTTGTCCATAGCCAAAATATACACGGTATGTTTAGCGATATGTTCTCGATCAAGTAGCTTATTTAGTCTGATTCTGGCTGACCGTTTAGATGTAGTAGAATCAGTGTATTCCTCCAACTTGAAATATTCTTTTGGATTTTCATCTCTGGGTTCTTTTCCTATGAAGTAACTAAAAAAGAAAAGAATGCATTTTTATACTAAAACCATCCTCCAGACTTAAAGCTGAAGAAAACCATTTACTTTTCACAGTGTTAACTGACTTTGCATATCAAGCTCATTTTAAGTAAAATTATTTAAAAAAAAATACATTTCTTACAGAACAAAAAAATGTCCTAATGGCTCAGTGCAAGATATTAACTAATATAATGCCTACCCATGTTGAAATGAGCATTTTTCAAACAAGAAATACGAAATTGCACGCGTTGTCGTTGAAAAAAGTGGTGGGGAATTACAAATCATAAGTCTAATAAATACAAACAACACCATGACTCAAGATACATCATAGTGTTGGATAGTTTTGTTTGATCTTAATCACTGGTACACTTAAACAAAGACACGAAAGAAATGTTTCTGTAAGAATTAACCATTTGATAAAGGTTTTATATATTTTTTTTTATATTACATAAAGTCCTATCAATACACAAAAAGTAAATTATTTCTCATATCGAAACTTATATGCATATATATCATTGTGTTTTTCCATAGAAGCCTCATGGAAGATTAGTTGTATAACTAACTGTGTCATCCTCTCAAAATAAAGAATTATTGTTTTCAGCGTTTTAAGTTCAATGCAAATTTAAAATTTTCTTCACAAACCTGATTTCACCATTTAGGCCTGTATCACGATCAGTTGCGGTAAACGTGGCAAGTTCTGTGTCAATAGGAGTTGCAGTCCCTTCATCCTTACTGATCTCTTTATTTTTGATCATGAATATTGGCTTTTCATCATTTACATCCTCAATGGTGATCTGTATGTTGGTAGATGCAGTATATTTATCTTCACGATCTTTTACTGTAGCTGTTAAATTGAAGAATGTTTCTCCTGCTTCATAATCAGGGTTCTAAAAGGTAAAAAACATTGCCTACATTTATAATAATAGATGTCTACATCTACATGTTTGTGTATATATATATATTATACAAAATCATTGTTAATCATAGATATAAGAAGATGTGGTATGAGTGCCAATGAGACAAATTTCTATCCAAGTCAAAATTTATAAAAGTAAACCATTATAGGTCACAGTACGGTCTTCAACACCGAGCCTTGGCTCACATCGAACAGTAAGCTATAAAGGGCCCCAAAAATTACTAGTGTAAAACCATTCAAACGGGAAAACCAACTGTCTAATCTATATAAAAAACGAGAAACGAGAAACACTTATGAACCACATCAACAAACGACAACTACTGAACATCAGATATCAACATTTAACTAAATTTTCAAATAAGATTATCAATTCATCTTGGTAAAATCATTAAGTATAAATTCTTTACTTCTTTTTCATTCCTTTTTGCAAAATGCATCATTAGAATGAATAGGCTGAAATATTTCTCCTGCTTTACTGATTTTGATTAAATTTTGTTGAAATTCTCTAAGACAAAGGTTTTACTACAAATACACAGTGTTCTCCCCAGGATTTTTGGATAGCACCAGGGTAAAGCGTGTGGACTTCTTGGTGAAATATTTCATGCAATCAGTTGTGTCGCGTCGCATCGCTTAGCTCTAGTTACTGTAGTTTTTATGTCTCTTGTTTTGTTTTAATACTGTGGTACTGTGTTATGTAGACATTGATTAAAAAAATTATTGGTAAAAAAGAAGTAAATCAAAAAACAGTTTGTATACTTTAATATTTTTTTAAAATAAATAAATTATGATTCATAATAAAATATTCATCTGAATTTAAAGTAATTAAATCTTTTATAAAATCCAAAATCAATAGAAATAAAATATCATTAAAAGTGAACAAAAATGTTCTATTTAAAAAACTTTCTAGTTTCTAGAAAAAAAATTGTTGTATGTGAAAGGATTCTTGTCATAAGAAGATATAAAATTAACAAGAACAATTGCAAATATTGTTTTATTATTTGAACCAGTTTCTATCTTAGATTTTAATAAAAAGAAATTTTTCATAAATTTTAGAACATTTTGCCATAGATTTCTTGTAAATATTAACCTTTCTTGTCTTTGGTGATAATCAAACATAGATACAGGCTTAATACTGCCCTGAAATCTAAATCTTTATTTGTCATGAACAATTTAAAAGGAATTCCTAAATCTATAAATTTATCTTTGGTCTATAGATCTATAAGTAACCATATTCAATGTCAACAACTAAGTCTCCCTATTTTCCCGCCTAAATGACAGGAAGTAGATATAAATAGATTTAACATGTGCTTTTGGATAAAATTTGCAAGAATTAGATTACTTCTGTTATTCATTGATTATGGATATAGATATCCAGTTTTAAGGTACAGTCATGCATTTTATTTATAAAATATAATAGATTGCAATTAATTGTAAATAAATTTGAATATTCTACGTGAACTAACTGGGTCATGTGATATGTACAGACAGATATTACAGTTTGAAACCCGACTATCATGCAATAACTATGTCATACTTAAAGATAATATTGTCCATGGTTTAATCAGAGACATATAATACTATATTATAAGAATTGGGAAATGTATAGTTGTCCATTATACGTAATTAGCCACCTTTATGATGTACACAAAATGTACCTATCGGGTCAAGACACTGTTTGTGTACAAAGTATTTACCGACTTGTCACAGGTCAGTGCATGGGTGGAGAGTGAAGCCATAAAATAGTTATCTGTGATCATAAAGTTATGAACTCTTAATTAAAACACAAAAGAATCATGTTACAAGTGTTAATTGCATCGATTAAATGCAATCAACAAGGTTAACCTCATAAGGTAAATCGATCACGTGGTGTAAACAATCTGTGTTGAACTGGTTTGAACTGGTCAAATTTCACCTGGAATTTTACACCGCACGGAAAAGATTTAACAAGTCGTTTAAAACTTTACCGATTTACGATTTTTTAACTGAAATTTTAGCACCACGGAGAAAAATTATACATCGCGGTAAGAACGATACCACCGCGGTGAAAAATTATACATCGCGGGCCCGCGGTCCTTTAAGGGCCTGGGGAGAACACTGAATACATATAAACTAAGCATTATCATTGATCCATGTAAATGAGGTAAAGGTCAGATGAACATGTACATCATACAATCATTTCTTACACCTGAGATACAGACTGAACCATGAAAACTTAACATTGACCAGTAAACCATGAAAATGAGGTCAAGGTTAGTTGAATCCTGCCAGTTGAACATGTACACCATACAATCATTCCATACACCAAATATAGTTGACCTATTGGTTATAGTATCTTAGAAACATCTAAACCACAAAAACTTAACATTGATCAATGAAACATGAATAATTGAGGTCAATGTAAAATGAAACCTACTGGACAGACATGTACCCCTTACAATCATTCCATACACCATATTTAGTTTACATATTGCTTATGGTATCTAGACTAAAAGAAAAGAAAAAAAAAACTTAACAATGACCAATGAACAATGAAAATGAGGTCAATGTCCGATGAAACCTGCCAGAAAGACATCTTACCATCATTGAATACATCAATTACAGTTGACCTATTGCTTAAACTATCTTAGAAATGACCCTAATTACGTAACCTTCATCACTGGACCATGAGGTCATGGTCATGAGAATACTGTCGTATGAACATGCAGAGCTTGCAAGGATCCCATATACCAAATATAGTTATCCTATTACTTATGAAAAATGCAAAATTCTCACAGCAAATAAACAATAGTTTTTTAAGCAGTCCCTAAACCATTAAAATGAGGTCAAGAACAATAGATATATATATATCAGACAAAAACTTTGTAAAATAAAGCATTTGTAAACCAGGTATGAAGCATACAGGTATTCTAACTTCTGAAATATAAAGCTTTATACAAATAATTAATGCTGCCGCTGTTGGATAAGCATTCCTAGTGTCTCGAATTCTATGACTTTAATCACACTTACACTGCCATTGTACACTCCAATGATACCCTCCCTGCCTTGGGTTGTAATGGTGAAATGTTTGTAAGCATCTGTATTGAGGGAATACCTCAACACCTCATCAACATCGGGATCATCAGCCTTAATCGTGAGAATTGCACCAGAATGGGTCTCTGGAATAGTCACATGGTATACAGACTCCTCAAACACTGGTGGATTATCATTTATATCAATGATATTAACTGTGACGGTTGCTGAACTGGTCTGAGTTTGTGGATTAGTTCCCTTGTCAACCGCCTGGACAACAAAGAAATACTGAGCATATTTTTCTCTGTCCAGGTCTGCCACTGTTGTAAACACCTGTCCATCACCCTCTATTCTAAAAGCTGTTCTTGGAGTTCCATCCCCAATAATTTGGAATGTAAATTCAGCGTTAATATCTGCATCGTAGTCTTCAGCAATTACTCTCATTACAGAGGTTCCTAAAAAGTGAACACAATACTATAAAAAAAGGAAAACAACACTTCATAAATATCATGCATCTAAAGCCGGGCTTCTTGTCTGGGTTAACCTTCATCAGGAACGCTCAAAGACGAATATTTGAAAGCCAAAGTTGTGTAAGAATCGAAACAGTTGAAGAGCTATATGACCAAAATAAACCCAAAAAAATATCAGCCTTGCAAACATACCTTTTTAAAGAAAACAAGTAAACAAAAAATACACATCTCCAAGATCAAATTCTTAAAATATTACATATCAAATTATAAATTTTGATAAACAATATTTTTAATAATTTTAGAAATTTGAATAAAAAAACAAATAATTTTGGTTTACATATTTCCCTATTTCCTGCATGAAATTAATATGAAACCATGTCCAACACATTAATTGTTTCACTCACAAGCACACACTTTTTTAAACATTGTGTAAATGACCTAATTTTATAAACTTGTATACTATAAAACTACATTTATATGTTAGGTTTGTGTTCCTCAATCCTGAGTTTTCTGTGTATTGATTTGTGTACTTGCTGTTGGTCTTTTTGCTTTTTTGTCTTTTGGCCAAGGTGTTGTACTTCCTTTTTAAGACTTATTTGATAATTTATCAACTCTTAAGTATCTTCACAGGGTTAAAAATACTGGTCAATGTCATTATGGGTACAAGTACAATTAAACACCGTCCTCCTCATCTATAGAATCAGTTCTTGAGAAAAAAAATTTATTTTACATGGCCTTTGTTAAAAAATAAACCATTAATTTTGATAATGGAAAGGAGGGTTGAAAACCCTAACTTACCAACTGGAGACATTTCATTTACAGATCCTGTTGGTTTATCAGGTATAAACATTGGTGCATTATCATTTATGTCGATTGGGAAAATCTGTACGGTTGCATATCCTGTCAATCTGATTGTCTCCCCTGGCTCATCAATAGCAAGTAAGTTAAACTGGTAAACATCTCTGCCATTGGGTTTGTCTCTGTCTAATTTGCCAACCAGATTTAAAATGCCAGTGTTGGAATCAATGGAAAACAAGTTTTTAATGACAGGATCCTCATTAGAGATTCTGTACTCCATGCCTTTCTGTCTGAAGGTGTCTGGATCCATTGCATGTGCCTTTAACAACATGAGAGGGTTCTGTGGCGAGTAGACTACCTCTTCTGTCACATTTCTGATCTCATAACTTTGTTGATCGAAGACTGGTGGATTGTCGTTCACGTCATTAATCGTTATTTCTACCAAGGTTTCAGCAGTATATTTGCCATCATTTACTCTGATTGTGAGATTATAGGCCTAAAAAGAAACAATATCAATCTTTACAATCCTTAACATACTGTTTTGAAAATTGCCCTTTGATAAATTCAGAAATTATGAAACTTCCAACTTCCAAAGTTTAGGTTCCTTTTGGTCATAATAGCTCTTTAAACCTTTCTACATATTTACTCATTCCTGGCTTTCAAATGTTAAGGTTAGAGCGTTCCTAATAAAGGTAAATCCAGAAGAAAGCTTCAGAGGCACAGAATTTATGAAGTATTACTTTCATTTACACCAGTGAATAAGCTTTAATTTATCACATTATCTTTAACGACATTTTAACTTCAATGATACAAAGAGTAATTTTGAACTAGAAATTAACACATATAAAAAATTAATGTAAATCATAAAACAAACAAAAAACACAAGAATGTGTCCATAGTACACTGATGCCCCACTCCCACTAACATTTTCTATGTTCAGTGGACCGTGAAATTGGGGTCAAAACTCTAATTTGGCATTAAAATCATATCACAGGGAACATGTGTACTAAGTTTCAAGTTGATTGGACTTCAACTTCATCAAAAACTACCTTGACCAAAAACTTGAACCTGAAGCGGGACAGACAGACAGATGGATGAACGAAGCTATCGTAGGTGAGGCATAAAAATTCTTTTAATCCATCAAAACAATGTGTCGCAAATTTCGCTATTTTACTTCAAAAGAATAAGTAACTTAGTGGTGGATATACTTACTTTGTCACCATTTTCATAATCCAGATTTCCAGCCACAACAATTTCTCCGACCAACTGTTGAGTTTTGATAGAAAAAAATGATGATCCAGGACCAGGGACGATATTGTACTGGAATGTTGCCTCTGAATAAAAATAATGACCAAGTTATAAGTCACTGAACAGTACAAATAGATATTTATTTTCTTTATAAAATTTAAAGAAGAAGAAAAATTCTCTCCTCAAACGACAGAGAAGTAATCATAAAGATAACAATTTTTTTGGGGTTACAGTTTGTGCGTTCAGTTCATATTTAAACACTTTGTTTGCCATATTTGGATCTTTTATTTTATTTTTCGAAAAAGATCCTTAAGTGTTCACATTTTTTCCTAAGTGATGTATAGTTGGTCCCTGACTCATCGAAATTACATTGTATTTTCAAGTGATCGAGTAACATGAAAAAATTACAGGAATATAAATGCTAATTTGAAATGACGCAATCTGAATCTGTGACTTCCTTAAGTGGTGTACAAATGTGCATTTGGTGTATGGCTTCTTACATGTCTTAAAATAAAACTGTATTTGGTATACTGCTTCATAAATACAACTGTAAAAAAACAATATTGTTTTAGATATTTTCCTAACATTTCATAGAACATTCAGTGCATGAAAATATTTATCATAACAAAGACCATGCAAGAAAAACATGAATCCAAATATTTGACAATAAATCTCACCATCTCTGTCTTTGGCTTCAACAGTTGTGACTATGGATGATATAAAAGCATCTTCATTGACATTAGCATAGTAAATACTTTTTTCAAAATTAGGTGGGTTGTCATTCTCATCTCCAATCTTCACTCTAACTGTGGCTACATCTACAAAGGAAAGTAACATTGTCATGTGATCACTCATGGATTGTCATGTGATCACTCATGAACTGACCTGATAAAGTCAATACAGCAGAGTAAGACTAGATCATAACAAACAGGATTATAGTGAATTTACATTTTTTTATGGTTACTAACATCTTTTCTAAAAATAGTCATCTAAATCTATTAAAATTATAAAGTACTGTGATTCAGTATATTTCTTTCTTTCTTTTATAGTTATTTACATAAAAAATGTGATGGGTATATTTTTGCTGACTGTATAATTCACAACAACCATTGTAAAGGGATGGTGAATTTTTCAGGGAGTACATCTTGAATCACAAATATAGCGAAAAATTCCAGACTTACCATTTCACACGTGTCTATAAGTTCGTTTTAAATAAGTTTTTACATCATTGGTCGATTTTAGTTGTAAGTAAATCAAACTTCACTGCATTTTAAATCAATTTTGCATCATTTGTTTAAAACAAAGGGTTAACTAAAATCACAAAAATATCCATATAGATAGGTATGAGTCCCAGATGCCAGTGTGAGTCTAGTAAACATCTCTCTCTGAAGACCATTCTTCTCACTTCCCCTTAATTCAGAAAAAGAGTCTCCCCTCCCATTTCTCACTCATTTAACATTATTTCCATATAGTTAGATGTTTCTCAGTTAAAATCTGTGAATTATTACCAAATTTTTTTCTTATAAATTTGAGTTACCGTAAACCAACTTATTTTCACGGATACTTTATTTCGCGTTTAGCCCTATCTATACCAGTTCGCGGTAATTTAATTTCGCAATTATCAAATTTACTTGATATGTTTAAATAAGTAAAGAACCATTTTTACATATTTGCGACGATTTATATTAGCTTTATTTTTGTACCCACGAAAGTCGCTAAAATAAGTCACTCACGAAAATAAGTTGGTTTACAATATAAGCAACCTGAAAAGATGGTTTAGCTGACAAATTCATTTACTAATGGCTTCACTGAATGTCAAATTTGTAAATATACTAACCATCAATGATCTCACTGCAGTAATCATGACAGATATGAAAAAATGGTGAACAAACTTTTCAACAAGGTGAAATCTTAAAATATATTTAGATACTTTAAAATGATATTCTTTCCCACAGGTCAACTATAGCACATTTTGGTTGTATACTTACCAGTATTAGGCTGTCCGTTTGCACTAGGTCTGGCTGATGGATAGCCATCATCTACTTTAACATTTAACAAATAATAATGGTTGGTAGAGGCTTCTCTGTCAAAACTTGATCTAGCAATTATTGCACCAGTAGACGCATCTATGCTGAAGTTTTGTGCATATGCTCCATATAGAGAGTATTTCAGCTGTAAAATTATCAAAATATCATACATCACATAATTGTAATTTGATAAAACCCTTTCCAGAAAGATGTTTTGAAATTCTCGAATTTGGTTCTAAATTCAATTGTTTCAAGTCCGATAATAAGCACCGGTTTGCTGGAAACATGAATACAGCAGATCCATCTACACTATTGTTTATTACTACAATAAAATGTTTCTAGAATTAAAATTAGTTACAAGTATAATAGAAGATATCAGAGTGATATGAAAAAAAATAAATTAAACAAACTAAACATTACATAAAAATGAACTTGGAATCACTGTTTATATTAGTAGTAAACCAATATGACTTTCTAGCAAGGGGAATAACTCTCATTACTTATTACTTACAAGTCAAAATTCAGGTTTTTTGGAAAAGGGCTACAAAAAACTAGTAATAACATAACACTGTTGGGTAGTTCATATATGAATGAGATTTACCTGTTTAAACAAAGGGTTGATATCTTCATCTATAGCTGCTACAGTTGTTACTGCAGCTCCTGGGGCGAGATTTTCTTGTACAGAAGCTTCAATATATGTAGATAGAGGATCAGCTCCACGGAAATTAGGTATTTCATCATTCTGATCTAGAACTGTGATAACAGGGAAAACATCCTTGTACACTTCTCCAACATTATCCTGAAAAGTAGTTCATTTATATAAAAAGATTAGGATGAATTCACAAGCAAGCATGATAAGGGTGGGATTGGAGGTGGTCACATTACGAAATGAATGCCAATTCCTGAATTACTGTAAAAACAATGCGACTTTTCCAAATCACGATATTATTAAATCCTGAATTCCCAAATTCCCAACTTTAAACTGGCTAATCCCAAATTCCCAGAAATTAAACAGCTCAATCCTGAATTCCAGAAATGACATCCTTCTGCCTCTCATTAATGAACCACTGCTAACCATTTTTCTACATGTATTTAGTTTAAAATATAGTTTTAAGATCATTGCTGGTGGAGTTCAGCTGTTGCCTGTATATCTTTAATACCACGTAACTTTACATTGATTTATAATGGATTTTGAATACTGCTGCTATCACACAGTTCATAAACACATATTCAATGTAAAATTATCTTGATGCAGCTAAACACACACTCTATGGAGTAAAAAATTAAACATCGAATAACATGGCAAATCTGAGTATAACTGCTGTAATATCAAATGACTTACCCTAGCCCTAAGTTGGAATGTGTACGATTTAACATCTTCGAAGTTCAAGGAATCCAGTATGTAGATATTGACTTGGTTTGAATTTGCTGTATCTTGCTGAATATAAAATGGCGGTACTTGACTTCCAGCTTGACCATTTGCAATAGCCGAAAAAGTGACACCAGTACTACCTGAAATTTGTGATGTGGCTGTAAGACTACCGATCAACGTATCCTGTCGACTTGTTTCATTAACGTTAAACGTTGGAGTGTTGGAACTCCATACAGGTGGATTCTGACCATCATCATTTGCAATTGTGATTGTAATGATAACATTAACTGAACTTCTGGGAGGAATTCCTTTGTCTGTAGCCTTTACTTGGAATACAACACTGTCCGGCTGAAAAATATGAGTAAAAATTTTACATTTTGTATTATTACATCCCTACATTTAAAACTATTCAGATGAAGGTAATGCATAAGAGTTGTCATTTTTGTTACTCATTCCAATGATGGGAGCAAGACAAAACCCCTTGGACAAAATTCCTCCATTTTTAATACCCAGACAATGTTGAGATAAAACTTAAAATTCCACTTGCAAAGAAAACATTCTATATTGAAGATATAACAACAAGTTTTCTTTTGTTTTTCTATTTTTTTAAGCATAGTTGTAAATACCCTTTATTTCCCTCATTGTTATTCAAATTGTGACTACTCTAGCTGAAACCAACACTTGATTTTGATGCCATAAATATTATAATATTTTATTCCCTGTTATTTACCATGCTAAAAAAAGAAGAAAAAAGGTTGGTATCTATAGGTAGGGCATTTTTCATTTGGCCTACAACAACCTGGTCAAAAGTTCATTGTATGTTACATTTTTTTTGCATTCTATAACAAGGGTTTTAGACACATTTTATGTACCGAAATGTTAAAATCAGCTTTGAAGAAGGGCAGTAGGAGGGTGTGTCATCACGAATTCTCAAAATAATAAAGCATTCTTTCCCAGATAAAAAAAAATATCATTAATTCCCGAGTCCTGCTAAAGGTAAATCTCACATTCCCATGAAAAATGAAGGCCCACGTTCAAATTCCCGCAAAAATAAAGGCCTAATCCCTATGCCCTTACAAGGTCATTTCTGCCCTTCTTTGTTTTCAAAAACAATGTCAAATACCTCCATTAGAAAACTTCTAGAATAGGACAGCAATCTCACAATAAACTACCGGTACTTACAGCACTCATTAAACTCCTTGCCACAGTAATTACTCCTGTATCTGTATTAATGTTGAAGTAATCTGTATCTACAGCTTTACTGTATGTTACTTCAGCGTTAACACCAATGTCTTTATCTGTTGCTTTCACAGTCATCACAACTGTATTATCGGTAGCAGTTTTTAAAACATTTCCAGCATACTGAGCTGCTCCAAATTCTGGACTATTGTCATTATCGTCGTCAATAGTAATTGGGAAAGTACAATAGTCGTCACCAGGAGGTTGGCCCTTATCTACAGCACGCACGGTGAAGAAAAGATAACGAGACCCAAAACTTTCTCTATCGAGTGGCATGACTGTGGTTACTTCCCCTGTCGTCTGATTTATAGTAAAATAAACAGTCTGACTATCAGTCACTGCAAAATAATCTACTACCCCATTGTCACCTCTGTTGTTATCTGTTGCTGAAACCTGCAAAACAATAAATTATTCATAAAAATTCTACAACCCCATTGTCACCTCTGTTGTTATCTGTTGCTGAAACCTGAAAAACAATAAATTATTCATAAATATTCTACAACCCCATTGTCGCCTCTATTGTTATCTGTTGCTGAAACCTGAAAAACAATAAATTATTCATAAATGTTCTACAACCCCATTGTCGCCTCTGTTGTTATCTGTTGCTGAAACCTGAAAAACAATAAATTATTCATAAATATTCTACAACCCCATTGTTACCTCTGCTGTTATCTGTTGCTGAAACCTATGAAAAATAAACTAGAATTAGGTGATCTAGTGATAACTGATATCCTGCTTGCAGCATGCTCTGATAAAAAAATGTCCATTCTGTCTAAATCTTGAGCTCACTTGCATATCATGGTCAATGATGGCGCATTTAAATTTATAAGATTTTGTCAAGTGGAACATTTATACTGTCATCCAGAAACAAAATACAAATCTAAATTTCAATCTAGGGCATATCTCTTGATCAGTAAATGTCAAATCCATCAATATCAAATTTCCTTATGCAATTAATGGTCTATGATATTATTTAAGAATTTTAAACGATTCTGTCAAGTATTACTTTAGTTATCATTTGAAAACTAAAATAAATGGAGAATGTGTCCATGGAACACAGATGATGCCCTAGCTTCTATATAATGTTATAAAGGGGCATAACTCGAGAACAGTAAAAGTGACTCCACCAAAATTCGAACTTGATGTAATAAGCATTGTGTATAAGTTTCATAACATTTGGTTGAGGCAAACTTAAGTTAGAGAATGGAAACCAATTTCTGGACGGACGTACAGATGGACAAGGGTAACACTTAATGCCCCCTCAGCTACGTTTGGGGCACAAAAAAGCTCTGTTTTCAAGATAATTTAGATGAAATGTTAAATGCTTAAACTGTCAAAGTTAAACTTGTAGTTTATGGATCATGACATAGTGATAAAATCCTAAACAATAGAAAAGTGTTCTAGTCATATGGATAAAATTCATACTGAAAGTTTAAAGGGGCACTAGCTGTCAAATTCATGTTCACCCATTTGACTCAAATTCTCATATTTGATTTATTGATTGGTAAAACATTTATCCAAACTATTAAAAGTCTAAAATAAACAGTTAACAGGACATGGGCATGATAACATGTAGCTTCGTTTAGTTTGTATTTTAGTCTAGACGCCATCTAATTAACCATCGAGTTGACCTCCAAAGCCATCCGATGACCATATAAGCGATGTAAACTTAAAAAAAGATATAAATAGATTAAGCGAACTCGTGCTATTGGATTTTTCTAGGTCTGTTTAATTTCATATTATAGATTAAAAACATATGTTTATCATCGTTTTTACCTGTATAAGAATGATTTTTTGTGGATCAGATCAGTCAATCAAATGATTTACCTTTGTTTCACTTTCAATGTTGACATTCTTTTCCTTTAAATAACTTTACACATACAATTCACGTGTTATCCATCTCTAGCTAATGGGTTAAATTGAAGTTCACATGAATACGGATTCAATGAGGACGAATTATTCACTTGCAAGTGAATAATTCATCATCAATGTTTCTTAGCTTATTTTGACAAAATTGAACCATATTGGCAGCTAAAAGCTAATAATTATTTCACTCTTTCACTTTCATTAATGATTGAACAAAAAAAAAAATCATATATTAGATTTTTTATATATCTCGTAGCTAGTGCCCCTTTAATTATTAATAATTCATCATAGACAGGCTTAATGTTTAAACAGAATTAATTTTAGACCGGCAGCACTGTATTTCATTTCATATTTCATAGATTATTAGTTCTGATGAAAATAGTCTTTAAGAACCTCTTATGCAATACAATAGGCATTACAGTGAAAACTATTATCAGTGAATCTTTTTCACTTACAGTAAAAACTGAAGTACCAGCAGGTTCATTCTCCAGAACTTTTGGTTTGTATGAACTACAATCAGTAAACGATGGCTTGGTGTTAACAGCATCAACAATATTAACAGTAACAGTAGACTCTTGTCGAAGATTCGGTCTGCTTGCTGTACAGCAACTACCATCATCTGTAGCCCAAACTTTTAAATTATACTGATCAATGTTAGGAGGAACAGAGCCTTGAACAGTGATTTGCCCAGTCTGACCATTTATTTGAAAAATGTCTTTTACATTTGCATTATCTGAAAAAGAAAACAATCATATTTCAAAAACCATTGGATTACAAAGTCAAATATTGATTTCAAAGAGTGAAATACTGAAGTTTACATACTGAATTCATCTTTATTCATCGTAAAGGTTAACAACAAATTTGAGTGTTCAACAGAAAAATGCAAATTTTCTATAGGATTTTAAGTAGAATTTGTTAATACCACGAAATCAATTATCCACTCAAACTCAAATACAATGTTCCTTAATCAATGAAATGTGGTACCCACAAAAATAAATGAATTTCTCTGAATTGAAAATGTGAAATTAAACTGGATAATATTGTATTCACAGAACATAGAACTGAATTTACAGATACAAAAACCAACTTACTTTCAAAACTGTATGTAACTTTATCACCATCAGGGTCAACAGCCTGTACCAAGTATACATCTGTTCCTGAAGCTATGTTGTCCTTGATGGTGGTTACCATGTTATCATCTTGGAACTGTGGTTTTTCATCATTGACATTGGTCAGATCAATGAGCACCTTAGCCTGACTTGTACGAGATGGTACGCCATTGTCTTTAACATAAATGTCAAACTCATATCGATGACTAGTTTGACGATCATAATCTAAAGTGCTGAAAAAAAAATTGAAATAAGTGATGTCTCAAATAATTTTATTTAGCGTGAATTATTACTGGAGTTTCACCATAACTTTATCTGTGCCAAATACATGTATACGTAAGTAACTGCTCATATATCTGAAGCACACAAGGTTACCCAAGTTTTGTATCCGTTTCTTTTCCCTATTCTTTTATTTCTAGAAATGCGTTGTTTTTGTTGCAGGTTTTCACAGGTTTGAAGAAAAGTTATTTTATCATTCTTGAAAGATTTTCTCAATTTAAAAAATGTAATATATGATAATAAAAATCCATGCTAGATGCACAGACAGATAAAAAAATTATAAAAAAAACCTTGAATTTGACTCATATAAGATATGTCTTTGTATTCAATTTTGGCCTGAGGACACATGAATGGTTCAGCATAATCTAACATCTAGTAGAAGGACACAAAATAAGCATAATCATGGCAAAAACTTTATGAGTTGAAAAAACTGATGAAACAAAATAAAAATATCAAATTTCAATTCTTCTGCTATGCCAGTTTTGAATTTCGAGTCATGATTCATGCTTCATGTTTGACAACTGTAAGTAATGTTACTCTTTTATCAATGGTCCACTTGTATAGATTGGCCTAGTAGAAAATGTACCTATTAACCTAAAGTTGATTTGTTCAACCAGGTTAACTAACTTGTTACTTGTTGACATTGACCTGATGGCTCAGTTTGTGGCAACTTTTTATACTGTCAACCAACTTATTTTGGATACTTTTTATCATTTTTGTGCTTTCAAGCTAATTTTGCAAAAATGGATGTATTCACATTACGTTTCAAAAGAAAAAAGTTGTGAAAATTAGTTGGTTTACAGTAAATGTGTTTTAACCTTCGATAAACCTAATTCTTACCTGTTAACTTGCAGCTGACCTGTATTGGCAGTTAGTGACTGTACTCTAAACAAAGGTTCACTAACCCAGAATGACAATACTGAGCTTAAATCTTGATCATTAGCAGTAACTGAAATATTAAATTGCAAAGACTTGATTATATTTATACCTTTTGAAGTTTTCCAGATATGTAATAGAATTTAAACCTTTAATCAACATTAGAAATTATTTCAGAAACCCAAGAGCTTACACAATCATCAATGTTTGTTTTTTTTCAAGTATATCTTTTGGTTTTAGAGGTCTCATTGATGAATATTCCCAACAATTCCTTGTCTTCATAATCACGATAATGAGTATACTGAAAGATTTTAAGATTTTCTTTACATTTATGTGGTAATAACTTGCTCAGTATCTATAATTTTCAAATAGTATTTGAAGCACACTTTGGGTTCTTCATTAAACACAAGACGTCCTGCCAGTTTAAAAAAAAAAAAGGAATGAGGGGGGGGGGAGACAACACTTTTATTTACATCACACCTTTGAGAGATTTGTAAAACTTTAAACATTAAAATCTTAGTATGGTTATCTTGAAAATTTAAAACTGATGAGAATTATAAATTTAAGAACAAAAGAACAATAAATTACTCTATGGATATGATACATGTATAAAATACAAGTGTCAAATACACAAACTTATACAAGTTCCTAAAATAATATCTATTCATTATTTAAAAACATGTTCTTTGTATTCAGTTTTTTAATAATATAGATGTATTGCAAGGTCAAAAGTGATTTAAAATACTCTGAAGAAAAATGTGCCCAGATATACAAAAAGGATATCATTTTAGGGTAGAAATTTCAAACAAGGACAGAAGATTTGTTAAAAAGGGTACACAGAAGTTATGAATAATAATATCAGATATCAGAGACAGCAACCCTATAACACTATCAAACGATAAAACTATACAGGAGTCAAAATATCTAAGGTGAAGGTTGGACCAAAAGTTGTTTACATCTATGTCGTTTGGTCTCTGATTGATAGTTGTCTCGTTGGCAAACATATCATATCTATTTTTATTCTTTTCCAAGACAAGTTGAGATAAAATTGTTCTGCCATCTGATATCCTATAATTCTTAAATGGGCAAAAAAAGGAATGTCAACCAGTACTGACTTAGGACAGACAGACCGATAAACACATAACACGGTTAATCTAATTCTTGGAATACTCCTCACCTTAATCAACACGTATTCAATTAAAATAATAATAAATTTTATTTACTTCCAAATGAGGGACATAATCATGATAATATTTCATCAATTCTGCAGGTTTAAAATTGCATTAGAGATGTGTAAAGCCTGAGAATAACACTAGTGTAGTGAGAGTACAATCTTTCGCCGTAAAGAATTTCTTTCTAAACGAGATGTATAATTTCTATTGTTTTAGATTACAAAGAGACCAAGTATAACTTGTTCAATTGTGTACAAAGTTGCTATCCTTAAAGAGTGTACAAAGACAAGTTTACCAAAGTGGTACTTAAAAGAATATGAAGGAAATCTATATATACATGTACATGATATATATGTATTACAAGTTAGTTTTCACATTATATTATTGGGACACATTTCAGAAAAATCAATGATTCTGGGGCACTTTTCACAAAAAATCTTAAGATTAAAATTGATTGGAAATTATACTAAAATGTTCATGACTTAAGATTGTTTTTACACATAAGATTTTTTGCGAAATGAGTTGCTGGTAAAAGAGTTTCAATAAATGATCGATCAACTCTAAACATAAATATTTTTCCATTTATTTAAGCCAGTAACCTTCTGTCTTGAGACATAAATTAAGCATGCAAAAAAAAATACCAATGGAAAATAATGAATGAAACCATTTCCCATGAATTCCATGCCATTTCAAGCAAAATTTCCTATTACGATGCCATCAACACCACAATTTTGATTTTTTATTCAAATAAAATGTGTGCCAGCGCACATGTAGAACATTTTCTTTTAAATAAATTTGATACAACTTTGAATCATAAATGTTATTAATTTAAGTAATTTCCTTATAAAAGTATTTGTAGATATGCAAATTAGATAGAGTATGAATTTCATAATACGGTATTAAACCAATATATCAATATATTTCATGTTTAAACAGTAAACTATTAGTAACATTTTATGAACATTAAATTGTTAAAAATAGACCTATACACATATAGGGGTTCATTAGTGAAACTGTTTTAAGTACTGTACCGTTTTCTTGTCCTAAAAATTGAAAAATGATTACTTATTTAGAAATTTTCTTGTATATCTATAGTTTTTTTCAGTAATTCCTGAAATACACATGTACAACTTTTCATAAATATTTCACATTTACAGAATGAAAGTGACATGCTATCTAGCATTATATACCCAGTATAAAACATTTATCAATTTTGCAGGAAGTTCCTTCTAGAATCTCAAGATCAGTATATGTAACTGTGAATTCATTTTAAAACATTTATGGGTACCAATTTTGGTGGATTACAGAAAAATTGAAATATTTGTGGATACTTGATTTCATTTGTGTGCTAAAGTTTGAATACAAGCCTATAGAAAATTTACATATTATAATTCGTGGTTTACATTTCCATTTACCCAAGTTTTCTATAAAAATTGGTACCCCACAAGTCCAGAGGATTTGGTTACTTCCTTTATAACCCTTTTCTTGGCAGATCTACAACTTCCCATATCCCTAAGAATTAGAGCCTTCCTGATGAAGTTTAATCTACAATCTGATTGAAATACAGATCCTTGGTCCATGCTTCACTTACAAAAATCTGACAATGTTACGTTCTACTTTCTGTCTCACTTACAAAAATCTGACAATGTTACGTTCTACTTTCTGTCTCACTTACAAAATTCTGACAATATTACCTTCTACTTTCTGTCTCACTTACAAAAATCTGACAATATTACGTTCTACTTTCTGTCTTACTTACAAAAATCTGACAATATTACATTCTACTTTCTGTCTCACTTACAAAAATCTGACAATATTACGTTCTACTTTCTGTCTCACTTACAAAAATCTGACAATATTACGTTCTACTTTCTGTCTTACTTACAAAAATCTGACAATGTTACGTTCTACTTTCTGTCTTACTTACAAAAATCTGACAATGTTACGTTCTACTTTCTGTCTCACTTACAAAAATCTGACAATGTTACGTTCTACTTTCTGTCTTACTTACAAAAATCTGACAATGTTACGTTCTACTTTCTGTCTTACTTACAAAAATCTGACAATGTTACGTTCTACTTTCTGTCTTACTTACAAAATTCTGACAATGTTACGTTTTACTTTCTGTCTTAAAGACTATTTGGGATCCATGGTTTTGTCATTATTATACATGTAGATACTCCAAATTTTGGAAGCAGAAATTTTTTATGTTGATGAAATTATTTTTAAAACAGAAAGCAAAACGGGATGTTTTCAGATCTTTATAAGAAATACATGTACACATTTCCAGTATTTCAATCACATTGGTTAATTAAGAAACTGAGAAATGTATCAGAATCAACTGTTCATTTTACTTTCATTTTTTAAATGATCTAATTAGGTGTCTACTCAGAAATGCATTCTCTTTATTACCTGTCAGTATGGCTTGGCCAATAGCTAAATCTTCCGGGACCCTGGCTGTGTATGTTGATAAGGTGAAGGTTGGATCAAACTCATTTTTGTCCTCCAATAAAATTGTCAGCTATAATATAAATAGGATTGATTGTCAATTCATTAATGCTATGTTAGTGGGTACAAAGTTTCGTATAGCCAATTAAAATTACCGACAATGAAAATAGTTTTATGAACTTGTTTTCTTATTTTATACCAAAGAAAATCTTTTCTGTTTTTTCTTTAAATAAAATTGGAATTTTACCAAAATGAAATGCTTTAAGAAATAAATTAAGCAGTAATTATTAAATATTTTAGCTAATTATTGATTTTGTTTTGCTTTCCATATTTTTATATTATTAATGTTTTCAACCTTTACACTTGGTTTCTTTCTGACCCTTTTGACCCAGGAAAACATTATTTTTATATATAGTTTAGTAATAAAAACTTTCAATGCATTTTTGGAAAATCTAGGGAAACACCAGTGATGATTGTGAATTTATTAGTATACAATCTATGTATAGATATAACCCCAAAAAATGGCTGTATTTACTTAAACCATTTTGTCCCATTAATACCTTGTATAAGACTAAGAGACCATTTAACAATTCAAAATTCCCTAAAACAAACAAACTGATCACCACTTCAAAAAGAAAACAAACAGAATGACTCATGTGACTTCACCTAGCGCAACGACAACATTATATGACATTAAAATCCTATTACTTACCGGAACTGTAGATTTAAGTTGAGAATGACTGTCCTCTGCTTGAATTGTGAGTGAAAATGTTCGTGGGTCCACTTCATAATCCAGTGCAGTCAACATAATTCCTTTACCATCATTATCAATTTTAAACTTATCCGAGATGGAAGACCCATCCAATACAGTATAGGTGGTTGTTCCTCCAATTTTTTTCTGGAAATTGATTGCATAAACCAAACTGACATTGCCATCTGGTGACAATGTGTCAAAGCTGGAAAGAAAAATATAACTTCAGTTAAAGTCTAAATTTTTATTTTCTTCATGATCAGGAACTGAAAGATTTAGAGAGAATTTTCATGTAAACCTAGTTCACACAAACTAAAATTAGATTGACCTCTGTTCACAAGGAGGCAACATGTTGCTCAGACTTTGGTTTTCTATGTTGTGTTTGGTGTACTGTTGTTTGTCTGTTCGTCTCTTTCTTTTTTAGCCATGGCATTGTCAGTTTATTTTCGACTTATGAGTTTCAATGTCCCTTTGGTATCCTTCACCTCTCTTTTAATGGAAAACAATGGAAAAGAGGTATTTTAACGCTTAAATTTTAATTGGAAAGGGGCACATATAGAAATGAAAGTAACTGTGTGGGTCGCATAACGTATATGGGAGGGTTAAATGAGGATGTGTAGGGTGAAATAGTATATTGTGTATTGATTTGATATTGTTTTGAATAAGAAATGTCATAATCCTTGCCATCTCATCATGTAATTAATTATGCTGTAATATACATACAAAATGCTGACTTTAATTTGGAAGTAAGAGAATTTCCACTTTTAAATGAGCAAGCCAAATGATGAACAATATTCAAGACAGGAAATTCCAGAAAACCTAGTAGCAGGCAAAATACTTCAAAACTTGACAAGATTCATATCCTTTTTACCTTAAAAATCCTTGTTTATACCAATTCAATATATTCCTTCTTTCATACTTACGTTTGATCTGCTTGATTTGTCTCTTGGACTTTGGCTGTATAAGCTGTTTCATTAAACTGTGGTTTTAGGTTACCAGTATATACGGTTACAGTAACTGTAGGACTTTTCTGTGCTATACCAGTCGCAGCAGTATCTGCTGCATATGCACGGACAACAAAGGAGTCTGAATTACTTAATGTCTGTTTAGTCTTTATCCAGCCAGTATTGGGTTCAACATCAAAATTATCATTTGGAACTGTAATATATATATGTATTTCATAATTTTTTCAAAATATGTAATATATGATATATATATTTCTCTAATTCTTCGTCAATTTATCCCTTTTTGTATAAAAAAAATTATATCAACGTGTGGTTCGTTTGATCTCAGTTCTTCATTGGTTAAAATCCGATTATGACGTCGAATTTTCTTGCTTTTCTCTGAATTTCCTATTGTGACGGCATGAAAAAAGGCGACCATGCCTGATGACGTCACATGGAAAGAACACATCTTTTTGCAGATCATTCGAAAAGAAGGAATAAATTTGCCTGCGCATTGTTTGAAAATCATTAGAGAAACAGATTCCACCACCAAATCTCATGTAATACGATATTTATCCACTCTCGACAGTTAAATTTTAAATATTTAAAACGGTCAGCGAGCCTCCCGTTTCAAATTTGAAAATTTAACTTTGCGAGTGGATAAATATCGTATCACACTCGATGCAGTGGTAGAATCTATATATAAACATTATATCACTACAAAATGACAGCCAGACATGTTCCAATTTTCATTGCACATTTGTTTTCCTTACAGTGCACAAAAAGGGATTCTGTTAAAAACTACTCTTGCTAATGTCAAGTGGAATGTTGTGTAATAATTAAGGTAATTTGGGTTAAAAACATTCGGATTTATGACCCTATCATCTAATACCTATTGGATATATAGAGAGATATCAAAGAGTAATTTACACACAGTTAAAAATTAACATAGAGTTTACTATTAAATCTCCTTCTACATATTCTGTAGATTTCATAAAAACTATTAAGTCAAAGCTGTATTTGTTTATTTTGCATAATAAGAATGGAGATAATTTTTGTATTTTAAGTCATTGTAAGTCTAGCCACCATACATAAATCTTGGTTTTACGGTTGAAAATATGTTTACCTAGCTCTGTCAAGTTTCGCTTGGTAATCTCAATTTGCAACAGGCCAAGCTTAAAATACAACAGTTATCTCCTAAATTTAAAGCCGAGTTCACAATCTTAAAACTATAACTTCATTCTTTGTCCTTGACTTCATAATGAAAGCAAAAAATTTAAATTACAGCTGCATATTATATATAAGATAAGAAAAATTTATTTTGATTTAGCATAAGTCAAATATATACAACACAAGCTCTAAGGAGCTTTTGACCGAAAAATTTATATATATATACGCGTTTTGTTAAAATATACTTTTTCACTTTTTTGGTCTTTTGGAAAATGTTGTTTGTGCTGTATTTAGACCACTCTACCAAGAAATTTGTTTTGCATGCACACATATAAAAATTGCGGTTTTTATCCAACGCAATCATAGGTTTGAACGTTGTTTTCAATTTAGACTTGTATATATACATATTATATGCAGATTTGTTTGGGAATCAATTCTTCCCTATACACCAACAAATGAACAATTCTGTTTATTCTAGCTTAATTTCATAAACATGATAAAATTAAAATATTCAAATGGTTCCTTCTACCCTGATTTATGCTTTTAGTTGTTCACGTTTAACACTTCTTCTATTTCTCACTGTTCTCTAAGCAGTGATTAAAAACATACCTTCAAGATAAAATTTAACATTAGCAGTAGTATCTGGATCGTAAGCAGACAGCTGGTAAACAAGTGTTCCTGCAGAGGAGGCAGGATCTACAGCAGCTTGGTACGGTGTAGGATGATTAGTGATCCGAGGGACTTCATCATTCACATCATTGACTGTTATATCAACTTGGTAGGTTTTCAAAACTGTAAAGACCAAGATTTTGTATAATTTTATGCCATGTACAAAGTATTGTATTTCAACAATTGTCTACAAATAGTCATAATAGTTATTATTTTTGTTATTCACTACAATACTTCCAACTTTCTACCGATATCTGTTGTTAAACAAATCTAGGGCTGCAACATATAATAGCCACTGTCACTCTCTTTTAACGGTATAATTGTCTATTTTATTGTTTGTATTTAATCATGTTTTACAGTTTAAACATTTATTGTATTAGTCCCTGGTAGGACAAATTTAGAGACTTTTTCATATATATATATATATGTATGTATGCAAGTTTTTAGATTGTTCTTCGTATATATGAAATATTTATCTCTGTTACAACTTTTAAAAGTTTGCAGACCTTTTGGATTTTATATTGTTCAATTTCAAAATAATTGTGATTTAGGAATAAAAATACCTCAAGTCATTCCTTAACAGGAATATTCAATATATATAAATCTATTTCATTAGTTACACCTGGGAACAGTATATAAACACCAGAGCCAGAGCCATATATGTCTCTGGTTGCACGTACGTATTTAAATTCAACATAGCCTGATCAGTCTGGTGCAAAGCAGGGTTTAAAGACAAATAGAGAGTTATTTCTATTTTTAATTGATTCAGTTACACCGGTTGACACGAGCAAAAATGAGAACAAAAAAGATGGTATGAACTTTTAAAATACACCTTATCGCTATTTGTCCGCCATTACTGGACATCACACAGGTTCCCGTAAAATTTTGACGTCACAATACAAAATATCTGACGCCACAATGGAAAAGTGATTGTTATATGACGTCAAAAGTTCAAGCGGGACAGATTCTCGGGTCAGTCGGGAATAGCGATAAGGTGTATTCCTTTCAGACCTTTGTCTGAGAAGACGAAAATAATGTACATTGCATGTGTATATAGGTTCAGAATGCTTTTTTATTTGTTATTGTAATAAATGTTCGAATGGTAACAGTATTTTTACTTTATTTTCCCTCATCTTTAACTCCTTGTCTTTAATATTTCCGAAGATATGGGGCCTCGCTCCTTACTGACGAGCCATATCCCAGATAATTACAGGATTTCCCGCGGTTTCATTTATCCTCATTGGAAAAACAAGTCATCTCGGTTTTAATTCCGGAAAAACTAAATATAAATAATTACTCAATGCACAAAAATAAATCACATACATGTATTGTGTTTAATAACATTGACATATCGATTTCACCAAAATATCGTCACGTCTTTTTGTTTGATCTTTTACCTGTGCAATGATTACATATGTTTATTAATGTTATATTTCCTCTGGAATGCTGGTTCAATGAGTCACTTTTGTTTCCCCGCCTATCCTGCATGCTTATATACATCGTATTAATCACCCTGTTGGTGATTTCAATTAAACTTTTACAATTCAGCATATGTGAATTAAATGTGACTTTTTAAAACACCAAAAAGAAACATTTTGTTGAAAGAAAAAATTAAAATGTCAATAGAACCCATATATGCCAATATTCACAAGACACCACTGTCCTGTACGTTTATCATCTGTGTGCATTTTATCAATCAGTTGAAATTTTCATGATTTTATACCTGAGACAATATTCTAAGTTTGATGATGTAAAATTTATAAATAACTACATGTATATGCATATTAATTGTCGCTCGAACATGGACGTGCATGACTGTCAATCTAAAGCGCTTTAGTTATCATCAAAGTCGATTCAACATTTCTTCAAAGATAAACAAAAATCGAATCTAAAAAGTTTTGACTTTGGCTTACAGTACAACTGACAAACTAGGTTGCCCTAATTTTAAAACGCGTATTTTTAAATAAAAATCCATTCTGAGCAGTATATATGGTATGATATATCTCAAAAATAAACATTTAGAGTGGGAAAGTCAGATAGCGTATCCTTAGCACCGCGAACTTGTGTAAACAATTACAGGGACCTTATTTACTTTACCTAAGTTACTGTTTGTTCCTTTGGTTTTCGTATATAAAACAAATGTAAGAAATTCCCTTATTAAAAAGGTGAAATAGGAAAACCGTGTTTTTAAAGTAACATTTTTGGGAAGCCGAAAAATTCCATTAATGATTTGTATATATCCTTTTATAGTTATTTTGGTGAATGGTTAGCCAAATGCAGAAAACTGACGAAAATGACAGATAAAAGAAATTATCCGCTTATCAAATTATGCTTTCAGTAAAGTATGAGAAAGGTCCACAAAATACATATTTCAAAAATTAGCATTACATTTAAAGTATTGTGTGAGCAATCGTAGCTTAGATTAATATTTTTTAAATGTACAGATAAGTCCGCAAATTTTCTTCAGGACACAACTTTTAAAAACCTTCAAGCAATTTGAATTGAAGGTCACGGATTTCTTAAACAAATTACAATCCTATTATAATCATTATACAATTGATACACAGATAGATCTTCTTAACGGCTTTAAGATTTTTAAAGGCCCCTGACCAAACTTCCGTCAAAGATCGGATCAGAGACTTGTATGAATTTATAATTTATTGTCCTATAACCTACCACCTGTGAATAATACCATATTTATGTTAGTTTAAAGATGAGTAATGCTGTTACTAAATCTTAAACTACACTTTTGTATTATATCGTTTCCTGTCATGTTTGAGAATGAACTGGGATAATAGCATTTGTTATTTGAGATAAGATGCAGAACAGTTAAGATAATTTTAAGAGTAGTGCAATGCTACACGAGGTTGATAAAAATATCAATGTAGTATTGTGGCTAATATTTCCATGGTTTAGATATCAAAAATGGTTTTCCACCATGATAACGAAAGCGGTACGGCAAATACCATTGATTCCCTTTATTTGTTCATTCCTAGGTTAGGAAATTTGAAAGCGGCTTGAATTTTTGATACTAAAAGAGTCAAAGTATTATCCATCAACGCTTTTTCATCAATTTATATATATATATCATTAAAATCAAAATGTCACAGTATTTAAGGCTTAGCAATGCAGCATCAAAATCATGTTTTGCACAATCTGATTAAAATGCAGATCCTGTGTCTAAGCATTGCCAATTTTACAATACAATAGAGTGATTTAGACGGCTTTGAAGGAAAGCTCTGAAGATTTTAAAAGATTCAAGATTTTATTCAAAAATGTCTGAGGTTATGAATACAATCTTGAATACGGTTCCTTTCTTATAAGCAGAACTCCAGAGGAGAAAAATTTTATAGCTCTTAAATCAGAATCTTGCACTTTGGCATGGAGTAGAAACGCATCAATAGTACCAAACGTATATCGTGTTGAATTTTACTGGAACACGCATGCAACATACTGTCAGTAAAGAGTGTCAACATATATTATGGTTTCCAGTTGTTGTTTTTTTTTAGAACGAAGAGAAAACAGTCGAAACGTCGAAGCAGCATGAAACTCTGAAATTAAACACAGATTATAAAAAGAACCGTGGTTGCCGTAGACGAGTTCAGTCTCAAATTTGACAATATGGTTCGTATCTATTAGTCGTCTTACACAAAACGGATCAATTCAAAAAATATCAGTGATTTTGACACTTTAAACTCAAAAACAAGTTTGTCAACTGAGCTGACCACTTCCCTGTCCATACCACTGTAGGGAGAACATAATGTCAAGTGTGAAACGATAATGTGTATACCGATAAAATACCTTCTCTCACCTCATTGACATGTTCTCTTTTGCCTAAAGGACGATTAAATACATTGTAGTTCAAAAGCCTCCAGTTATATTAATGTTTAGAAATAATTTTACTTTTTAATACCAGAACAAAAACGTTCTTGACTCAACAATCAAAACATTGGTATTATAAATTAATTAAAGTCTAATAAATACAAATGCCTCGCATGCGATGTTGTACATTGTACATGTCACACACAACACAAAATATATTACCTTATATGTACCATTCCCGCCTTTTTTCCCCAATTTTTTTTAAATTACTGAAGTATTTGTTGCAGTAGCGTGAATCATTGTAACTCCTTTTTTTTTTTTTTTTTTTTTTAGTATTTACATTAAGATCTCAAAATGACAGTAATCCGTTTTGTTTTGAAAGTGTGCTTGTATAAAATTATATGTATACATTTGTAATTCATGTTTATACATTGTAGCATCTTTCGAAAAGAATATTATTACTTTTAATACCGATAAATTAAATTGCTTTTATAACCTATATGTGCTTCAAAGTTTGTGTTTAAGGGTAAATGAATTATCAAATGAAAAGCTACATGTAATGGCTGCATGCGTTGATCATGAATACAAGTGAAATTATCAACGCTGAAATTCTCATACTTATCACTTAAAAATTCATCACTCAGTGTTTAAAACTACTAAATGGGGTTGCATGTACATTCCTCAAATTAGTAACTACATGTATTCCTCAAGTAAAGAATTAAAAAAAAATGATGTGACTGTTTAATTATTTAGTTTAAAGATATTCAGCTTTTTAGTATATACATGTAAGTTAATTGTTGTATGTTTTTGACAAGAGACGTGCCATTTTAGGAATTATGTATTGAGTCTGTACGATTTAGAGCTTGATCTTTTGGTTATTAGTGTCGTTGGGTTGCTGCCACATTGACGTAAATACCCTACATTTACGTCACTCTCATCATTTTATTCATACAAAATATAATAAACGAACACTACAAAAATATTCCACATTTTAAGGGATATGGTTACTCATTTGGTGAACTTTTTCAAACTTGGTGGGGTTTTCACGGTCTTAAATCATTATCAGGAAGAATGCAAAATATGAGTACGACAAACCTACCTTGCTGTCCATCTGACGATTTGACTAGGACCTGTATATTGTAATTCCTTGGACCAAAATCGTAGTCGAGTTTTTTTCCTGGTTTTACACTAACTTTGCCTTGGTTATTAACTATGAATGTGTCAGTGTCGTCTGAAGAAACTGACCACAACAGGGTGGTTACTCCTGGTTGGGGGTTTTCTAAAGTCAGGATGTCAGTCTTATCTTCGTTAACGGACAACGTAAGTGTTACAGCCTGGCGTCTTACTCGAAGGTGTGGCTGTTGATCGAAAGATTGAATAAGATTGTCCTGTTGGACGGCGACTTTGGTCTTCTGTGACAGCTGATTACGAAACTGTGATGGGCTGTTTCCCTGATTGTCGTCTGCGACAGAAATGTGAATACCGGAATGCCCATGCCCTTTTCCATTTGTACATTGAAGGGAAAAATATAAGGCTTTACTTTCTGTTGGTAATTTTGAAATGAGTCTGAATCCAGAGGATATAAGTTCAAATAAGTTTGAACTGTCACCATGTATTTCACATGAAATTTTAGTATCTGAGTTAAGTAACCCGACAAGACTTTCAAGTCCTTCAACCAGAAGTCCAGGCTTAGAACTTCTCTGTATAACCCCATGGTATATTCTTTTCTCCAGTTGCATATAATCCTTTGAATTTTGAATAAAAATGCCAAACGTCCGTCTTTCGCCAACATTGCTGAAGCAGTTGTTGTTTGAAAATGCGGAAACCAAAAAATATTTCCCTTCATATAACGATATATCACTTTTGACGACTAGATTTCCACTTTTAATAGAAAATAGTTTTGAAAATAGTTGATCATCTTGTGGACTTCCTTCCGGTCGTATTGATATTTCATCTTCTACACAACATAGTTTGGTTACAATGTGTCCAATTCTAGCATTATGTGGCACTGTTAGTTCAAAGTTGTCTTTGAAAATAGTTGCAGTGAAAATAAACGAAACAAAAAGTAATAACTCCAAACAAATATAAATGATTGTTACCTGATTTTTAGACGCCATCTTGGATTATACCTATAGTTTGATTAATCAATTTCAAATATGAAATACTGTTGTATGAAAATAAACAAATTATATATACAAAGTTTCAATAAAATACGTCCAAAAAATATTCCAAGTTCACATTTTTCTCACAAAAAAATCCACATTTTGAAAATTCGAAATAAAACACTATAATCTATGGAATGTTATTATGATTATATCCCCACCTTTGTATAGTACAGGTAAAAATCCAGGTAGTCGCGTCACAGACATGTAGTGGGTCGCTGTGACTAATCAGGTTAAAAATACTATCTTAATGATCAAAATTAGGAATTTCAAAAGAATTTAACTCGAGAGATAATGACCAATTCAATTTTAAACATACTTCAAACAAAACTTTAAACAATATAATTGCATGTTTCAGTTTTAAATCAATGACTCTGCATTATTTAAAAACAGACAAAGTTATGCATGTAATGTAAAATTGTTGCCACAAAGTTTAACATATTCAATGTAAACATTGATAATTTTATACTGTATAAGTTTGATAGAATAATTATAATCTATGACTAAATAATTAGAATGGTATTCAGTGTCAACAGACTCTGTAACGACACATAATAATTATATGCACTTAGTGACTATATTGCAACATCTTTTAGTGTTGTTTTTCTTCTCAACGAATCCATATCAAAAGACAAAATGTATAGTATCAATTTTTATCTGTTCAAGGACTTACTCTCTTATAAATGCCTGTGTTTTTTTTATAACGTTTAAGAAGGGAAGAAGTCGCGATAGAACCTGAAACGAGCTTGTTAACAGAGTATGCATTAATTACGATTCCTTGGTACACCAATGGACCAACACCAAAATTATACCTACAAAAAGATTGATTTTGCGATGTAACTAGTGCCGACACAAACCACACCGAAAGAAAGTGAGTAATTCATCGACTAAGCATTTTTCAGGAGTATACGCAAAACCATAGACATATAATATATAATACATGTATATATGTCTCTGGTAAACCTATTCTAATTTATAAATTCCGATAAAAATATTTATATAAACACATTTTATTTTTTCAATGATTTGATAAGTTACCGTTAACAAAACAGTCGTCTGCGTAATGGCTTGCAAGGTGATTACAAGTAATAGCTTATCTAAAAAGCTAGCTGTCCTATAGCAGATGAAATTGGAACATGTGTTTTGTATTGTAATTAAATTCTTTCAGAACAGCTTTGCATATTACAGAGGATTACAATTTTTGAGATCATACCAATTTCTTATTTCCATTTTTCCTTTATTTTTTTTGGAGGGAAAAGGGGGAGGGGGTAATAAACACTGAACTTCCATTGGTTTGTTGAAACATAAAACGCAAGCGTCGACAAAAATATCCTAACATCTTTATTACTATATAAGATATCTGACTTACATATTTAGTTTGTCTAATAATGCGCTTAATGTCTTTCAAGCCCCAATTTGGTTTAAATCCAGAAGATTTAGAAATTTCATCAATTTGAAAATTCGTTCTATATCACCTTGTTACTGTTAATTCATCTTGAAATAATAAACTTCGAGAGCTTGTAATATTCAGTCGTTTGTTGCTGTATATCATATTTGTTTTTCGTTTATTGTTTTATACATATACCAGACCGTTAGTTTTCTCGTTTGAAACGTTTAACACTTGTCATTTTAGGACCTTATATAGATTTCTATACGGAATGGGTTTTGCGCATTGTTGAAGGCCATATGGTAACCTATAGCTGTTAACTTCTACGTCACTATTTTGGTCTTTTGGTGTCTGATAGAGAGTTGTCTCGTTAGCAATCATACCACATATGCTGGTATTTATACGACCGCAAATTTATTTGAGGTAGTATAATGTTATGATGTTGTCTGCGTCTGCGTCTGAAGACATTTTGGTTCGCAGACAATAACTTGAGTATAAATTACTAGATCTCTACGAAAATTTAGCACAAGGTTCCATACCACTAAAGGATGGTTGGGATTGTTTTTAGGGGCTATTGTCCTTGCGGTTTTTTAATGAGGGGCCAAAAAAGGTCAGTTTTACTTGTTCATGAAAAATAAATTGGATCGCAGACAATAACTTAAGTGTAAGGGTATGGATGTGTGAGAAATTTTAGGACAAGGTTCCATTCCACAATAGGAGGGTTTGGATTGATTTTGGGGGTTATTGTCATAGCTGTTAAGGAATTAGGGGCCAAAAAGGGTCTAACAAAAACAATTTTTTGTCAGGTTTACAGACAATAACTTAAGTATAAGTGTATGGATCTCTATTAGATTTAAGCACAAGGTTCTATACTACAATAGGAAGGTTGGGATTTATTTTGGGGGTTATTGTCGTAGCTGTTTAGGAATTGGGACTAGGAATTAAGAAAACAACTATTTTTCTGGTTTGTAGGCAATAACTTAAGTATAAGTGTATGGATCTCTATTCAATTTTAGCACAAGGTTCCATACCACAATAGGAAGGTTGGGGTCTATTTTGGGGGGTTATTTTAGTAGCTGTTAAGGAATTAGGGGTCAAAAAGGGCCTAACAAAAACAATTATTTGTCTGGTTCACAGACAATAACTTGAGTATAACTGTATAGATCTGTATTTAAGCACAAGGTTCCATTCCACGGAAGTAAATGATTTATTTTGGGGATTATTGTTGTAGCTGTTTAGTAATTAAGGACCAAAAAGGGGTCAAAAAGAAGCATTTTTCATGTTTCAGCACACTAATTTGTATATTAGAGTTTGGATTTCTATGAAATTTTACTACAAGGTTCCATTCTTTAAAAGGAAAGTTGGGATTGATTGTAGGGGTCATGGTCCAAACCATTCAATAATAAAAGGGGCTAAAAAGGGGCCAAAAAATTAGGATTTTCTGCTTTCTGGACAATAACTTGAGTATAAGTCTATATATTGCTATTTAATTGTTCCACAAGGTGTTATACCATAAAATAAAGTTTGGGATTGATTTTAGGGATTATGACTCTATTGGTTTAGTTAAAACGGGCCAACACCAATACTTTGTATAAATTGCTTATTTTTTAGCAATTTCAATGGGATTTAATTCAAAAGTCTTGAATTCTTTGGAGTCTGTAATATGCTGAATCTAATTGGGTATTAAATATTTGGATTTTTGGGTCTGTTTTTGAAATGATTCATATTAGGTCCAAAAGGTCCAAAATTAAACCTTGTTTGATTTTTTTAAACATTGAATCATTGGTGTTCTTGATATGTTGAATCTAATTTTGTATTTAGATTTTTTTTTAATTTTGACTCAAATTGAGGCCTGTCTTCAAATTGGTCAACATTAAGCCGTCCAAAGGGTCCAAAATACAACTTTTTTTGATAGAAAACAAATTGAATTCTTGGGGTTCTTTGATATGCTGAATCTATGCATGTATTTAGATTTTTGATTTGGGGCATGGTTGGCCCACATTAAGGTCCAAAAGGTCCAAAATTAAACTTTGTTTGATTTAAAAAAAAGAATGGTTGGGGTTCTTTGATATGCTGAATCTAAGCGTTTATTTAGATATTTGATTTTGGGCAAAGTATTAAAGATGGTCAATATTGGGATCCAAAATTGCAAATTGTTTGATTTCATCAAAAATTAAATTGTTTGTGTTATTTGATATGGTCAATCCAACAGTGTTTTAGATTTTTTGAGTTTGTGCTTGGTTTTCAAAGTTGGTCCAAATTTGGGTCAAAAATTAAACTGTGTTTGATTTCTTCAAACAATTAAATCATTGGTGTTCTTTAATGTGTGCAATCTAACAGTGTTTTAAATTTTTGATTTTGGGCCGGTTTTTCAAACTGGACCCCATAAAGGTCCAAAGTATCCAAAATGAAACTTAGTTTGATTTTAACAAAAAATGAAACAATTAGGTTATTTGATATGCTGAATCCAACCATGTATTTAGAATTTGAATATTGGACCATAATGGGTAAATGTCTAATTTTAAAATTATTTAAGAACTTATACCACATTCATTCTGTGTCAGAAACTATGCTATTATTACATATTTGCCCAGAATCTAAATTCTGAGATGTTATTGGACAATTAACAGAAATTTAAGTTGAAAATAGATAAAACATCATATCTAATTTTAGAGAACTATTTTTGTGGTTTACATCACTAGTTCATGGAAAATAAATTGGTTCACAGACAATAACTTTAGTGTATGGATGTGTAAGAAATTTTAGCACAAGGTTCCATACCACAATAGGAGTGTTGGGATATTAAATAGATAATCAAGCTCTACATTTATAGATTTATTGTAAACTAATAGAAATTTTAAATTGAGTCATAGTTTAGAATAGATATGATGATTCAGATATATTAATTGTTGTGATAATTGTGTATGCATTGTGTTCTATTTAAAGATTGTTAACATGTTTGAATATTTTCTTATAGTTGAAAATTCCCTTGGAAATTAAAGGATATATTTCATTACAATACATTGTGTAGATACAGTTGTTGACATTGATAGATAAGTTGCAGATATTAGTTTGTGACAAATGAAAGAAAAAATATTGGGAACTATTAATTATATATATATAAAGTTTGATTACACTAAGTGTTTTTAAATAATTTTCACCTCTTATCAAGATAACAAAACATCTGGTAATTATCAATCACACAATTATAATTGGAGTGACAGATTTATTTGAAAATTTTGTGTTTTTCCTAAGTGTAATTGATGATAAGCTCTGTAGGACGGTATAAATATAGTTTGAAATTTACTTTTCATTATTAGATATTTGAAGATAATTATAGATAAGTTTTAATAGATTTTTTAAAGACATTGTATTAATGATAAATGATATTTTGGAGAAAAAAAAATCTTTTCTTTGGTAAATTGTTTGAAGAATTTTGTGGTAGGTTTGTTTGTTATTCTGTATAAACTAATTTTCTGAATGCTATATATATATATATTTTGATTAAGGGAACTCCTTTATAAAAAAATAAGCTTACACTGTCTATTAATAAACATGTACTTAGATTTTTGATTTTGGGCCCCGTTTTCAAGTTTGTCCAAATCGGGGTCCAAAATTAAACTGTGTTTGATTTCAACATAAATTAAATATATATACGGTTCTTTAAAATGCTGAATCTAAACCTGTATTTAAATTTTGGATTTTTGGGCAAAGTTTTCAAGTTGGTCCACATTGAGGTCCAAAATTAACCTTTTGTTTTATTTCATCAAAAATTGAAGTCTTGGGGTTCTTTGATATGCTGATTCTAACCATGTAC